CAGTGCTGATTCTGTAAACTTAGGCAGATCATGAGAGGGAGGGCGGAAGGACTGCATCAGTGCTTAGTTCTCATGGTCCTTTCTTACATGCCCAGGGAAATGCTGATCACCACTTTGAGGTCAGGAAGCAATTTTTCTCCAGGCCAGTTTTGGCTAGGGATCTTGGAGGTTTTTTTTGTCATCTTCTTGGCATGGAACAGGGGTCACTGGGTGTGTGGTGGGGGGCAGTGTTCCCTCTAAGCTGAGTTAGTGTGAGCTAGCTCACAGTTTTTTAGCCTCCGGCTCACACCTTTCTGTCGCAGCTCAGGAAGGATGGCTCCAGAGCAAATTAATTTATGCGGGAACCAAATCGCTCGCTCACAACTTTAATGCCAGGAGCTCACAAAGTAAAATTTTTGCTCACAAGACTTCACAGTTTAGAGGGAACATTGGTGGGGGGAGGTATTTGTGAATTTCCTGCATTGTGCAGGGGGTTGGACTAGATGACCATGGGTGTCCCTTCCAACTCTTAAGGGTCTGTGATATGATTGCAGGAGGAGCTGGACATTCGCACCCTGCAGACCAAGAACCGCAAGCTGGCCGAGATGCTGGACCAGCGGCAGGCCATTGAAGATGAGCTGCGGGAGCACATTGAGAAGCTCGAGCGGCGTCAGGCCACAGATGACGCCTCCCTGCTGATAGTAAATCGCTACTGGAGCCAGGTCTGCTACCAACTTGTCTCCTTTGCTGTTCCATTTCCGTAATAAGTTTAGTCTCCTAAAGTTAACGGAGGGTTTTTTTAAAAATCCTATTTCAGTTTGACGAAAACATCCGCATCATTTTGAAACGCTACGACTTAGACCAAGGCCTGGGAGACCTCCTGTCGGAACGGAAAGCCCTGGTAGTGCCGGAGCCAGAACCGGATTCTGACAGCAACCAGGAACGTGAGAGGGAGCGAGGTAAGGTTTGTGGTCCTGCCTGTTTTTTAATTATTATAAACTCTCAAAATACATGCAGCAATGACACACAGATAGTCTCATACAGTCCAATCAACTTGGTAGAGTTTCCAAATCTTAACTGTACACCCAGTTCAAAAAAAATTTTTTTAACAGTTTTCACTGGTAAATTTGTATTCCAAAAGTCAGTAAAAAGGACCCGGTGCTAAGCAAAAAGTCCTTGTGCATTTTTCTTCATACAGTAATCTTGTTTTAGCATTGATTTCTTGTCCATGATCATTACAAACTACAATTTCTGCAACCCTATCTCCAGCCTTGGTAAAGTACTACAGTTTTCAGTACGTAGCAATTAACAGTTTAGCTGCTATTGTTATATGTGATGCTAGATACCACTGGTTCATGAGTAGCTGTTCTGCCCAAAAGACACATCAATGACGTAAAAGGTATATTTTTTTACTCCAGTATCTCTAGTCCCTTTCTGAATTCGATTCCAGTCATCTTGTATAATACAACATGCCCACCATGTGGAGATAGGAGCCGTTATGTTTTCCTTATCTCCAGCATATACCTGCAGTGTTTGCAGACATTTGTGCTTATCTGCTAGGTGTATAGTATCACCTTTAGGCAATTTTCTCTGGCCTCTACATTTTTTAGATAGTCAAGGTCAAAACACTTTAGAAATACTTGTCCATACTTTGACTGGCACTTCCTGTTTTAAATCTATCATCCAACTGTGCAGTTGGCTTATGCTTTCTCCTGTAATACCATTTTACAATGGGCCCTTGACAGGTAGGAAAGAGTTTCTTTATGGGAGTTTATGGGAGTAAAGGTAAAGGTTCCCTTGCTCGAAAGCCAGTTGAATCCGACTCTAGGGTTGCGGTGCTCATCTCCGTTTCAAAGCCGAAGAGCCAGCGCTGTCCGAAGACGTTTCTGTGGTCATGTGGCCGGCATGACTAAACACCAAGGCGCACGGAATGCTGTTACCTTCCCACCGAAGTGGTACCTATTTATTTACTTGCAATTTCTTGCTTTCGAACAGCTAGGTTGGCAGGAGCTGGAACTAGAAATGGGAGCTCACTCCATCATGCAGCACCCAGGTCTCGAACAGCTGAACTACTGACCTTCCACGGCCTGCAGTTCAGCATCTTAACCACTTGAGCCACCGCATCATTTTTTGTCTATTTCCTTGCCTTGTTTCCTAGGAGAAAGATTTGAGCCTGCATTCTCCTTTCTGGCTACCCTGGCCAGCAGCACCAGTGAAGAAATGGAATCTCAGCTGCAGGAACGCGTGGAGTCTTCCCGCCGTGCCGTCACTCAGATTGTGACCATGTATGATAAGCTACAGGAGAGAGTGGAGATGCTGTCCCAAAAGCTGAACAGTGGAGGTATGGCATATATCCAAGGCTCCTCCTCCTGGGGTAAATGCAGGGCACTGTTTGCATCTGGCAAAAGGTGTTCAACTGCTAAGTGACAGAAACAATATTTAGACAAATTTTATCCCTTTGAAGTTGGCCTAGTATATAACTAATAATTTTTGGGACTTCTCCAGGTGTGCCACACAGTTCATAGAAGCTGTCAGAAGTTTTCAGTTTGCTCAGTAAACATTCCCCACGATGATTAATGGGTTACTACATAAAGGGGCTTAAGGAATTGGCGAGGCTGGTATAAGCCCGTCTTGTCTAGTAATCTGACGAACTCTTTCCTCCAGTAATGCATTTGTTTTGTGGAGTTCTTTTCCCGTCTGCTGTAGATTGATGGTTCAGGGCACCTGTGATGTCCATCCTTATTCTTAATGGGCCTTTTGCTTCCCCTACCACATGTTCCCTTTCCATGTGATGGTCTCTAATGATTACCAGATTCAGAACTCTTAGTGATTTGTTTCAAAGCTGCTCATTCTAGTTTGGCCATTGACCAGTCTTGATGATCATGTACATTGAAACCATTTCTGCCACATCCCAGAGTTTTCACAGTGCTTCGTCTCCATTGGTAGATTGGGGGAGCTGTGTTTTAAGAGCTGTAAATGTTTGCAAGCACTGATGTGATAAAAACCTCATTCTAAATCCATATCGGATACCTCTAATCATCTCCACTATATCTAACAGTTAAGTGGCTAGTCCCCATGCTAGTCACAAAAGCTACATACTGGGGTCAGCACCAGTAGAAAAGGGAAGAGCTTCTATGTGGGGGGTTCCCCCCCCCAAATATGGATTAAAAACAGGGCTTGAAAATGGAGGAAAAGAGGGAAGTAACCCAAATTCATGACCAAGTATTCTCCAGAAGGCACAGAAAGTGGTTGTAAAGGTAAAGGTTCCCTTGCTCGAAAGCCAGTCGAATCCGACTCTAGGGTTGCGGTGCTCATCTCCGTTTCAAAGCCGAAGAGCCAGCACTGTCCGAAGACGTTTCCGTGGTCATGTGGCCGGCATGACTAAATGCCAAGGCGCACGGAACGCTGTTACCTTCCCACCGAAGTGGTACCTATTTATCTACTTTCAATTTCTTGCTTTCGAACTGCTAGGTTGGCAGGAGCTGGAACTAGAGACGGGAGCTCACTCCGTCATGCGGCACACTCGGGTCTCGAACTACTGAGCTACTGACCTTCCACAGCCTGCAGTTCAGCGTCTTAACCAATCAATTAAAAGAAACAAAGCAGGGAGGATTAGCCTGCTCAGGCCTCCAATGCCTTACAGAGTATCGGAAGGAGATACTTTAGGATAGGGTGGCAAGTGAAATTCCCAATATGTCCCACCACGCTCGACCCTGTGATTACTTGTGGCCTCCCAGCCTGAATCCTTTACAATTTCAGTTCTTCTGTTTTGCTGCATGACCATCAGCAATGTATAATGTTTGGATTAAGAAATCAATATTTACAGCTTCGTATATTTGTGCTTCTCCTTCAGTGGGGGAAGTCACCCAAACTGGCTAGGCCGTGCCTCCTCTCACTCCAGGCCAGGGCTATGCAAATCTGTATAGACTGTCATTGGCTCAGCGTGAGGCTGACCCTCCAGTTTGATAGCCCTGCCGCTCCAGCAGGACGCTTGAGCCCAGCTCCACTTTCTCGGAGGCTCTTGCCTTACTGGCATGGAAGATGGGAAAAGCTTTGAAGAAAGGCCCCGTCACCAGCCTTAAAGAAGAAAAAGAGCATTAAGACAAGCTTTCCAGGGGAGGAGGGGGGAAGAAAGAGCAGATACAGCTACAGTGGCGCAAGCCGCCATCAGTGCTGACAGACCGGAAGCTTCAGGTCGTTCCACAGCTGTCCCCTGACTGCACAGGAGAAGTGCGGCAGAGATCTACCGGGCCCAAGCCTAGACCGGATTTCTTGGAGTCTCTTACCTTGCTGATACGAAAGTTGGAAAGGCCCCATTGCTGGTCTTAGAAAGAAGGGGGAAACCACTGAGACAGGCCTCTTCGGCCTGAGGCTTCAGGCATTGGAGACTGGCCAGCGGCGGATACATCTGCAGCAGCATGGGCTGTCATTGGTGCTGGCAGACCCAGGGCTCCGGGCTGTCCTGCAGCCGGCCCCAAACTGCGCTGGAAAATCCTGGCAGAGCTCTGCCCTGTGTGAACAGTCATGAGGAGATCTCAGCAGGCTTCTGGGCCTACAGGGAGCGAGAGGATTGGAACTGAAGGTTGGGACCCTATCCCTGTAGGGGATAAGGACCTCAGATGCGAACAAAGGGCCGATCCAAGCAGGGGTGGCAGTGCGGCAGAGTAGTTCCCCCCTCCCAGCCTCTCTGAGGCCTTTCCCAGTGGGTTTAGCAGTTCAAGAAAATTCCAATAGGGTGGCTCAGGTTTTTCCTGCATTTTTTTCCTGCCCTCCGTCTGCAGATTGGAGGACAGAGGCCTTAAGCCTGGCCTGGGCCTCCCCCAGCCCCTTGTGCATACACAAGGGTGTATGCAACCAGGAATCGTGTTGGACTTTCTGTGGTTGGAAGTACCAGGCCAAGCAGTGGTTGTGGCTGATACCTCTCATAAGGACGCCAGCACTGGGGACACAGGAGCTTTCAAGAGCAAGTTAAAATAGATGTTCTCTTTCTCCCCCACCACCCGTGTCAGGCTCAAGTTTGGGGGTGGAGGAGCTCCTTTCGCCCGTAGGATCTGTGGTAGCAAGCTCTTATAAAGAGGAAAGGGAATGGTCAGGAAATTCTAGGCCTTTTCCAGGGAAATTCTTCTAGGCCTTCCAGCCTTTCTGGAAATGAAAAAAGGTGGTTTTTCCTTCTCGTAACTACCAGTTGGAAACAACAGTAAAACCTAGATCATCGGCTTCAGCCAATTTAGATACAAGAGGTTTTTAAGAGATCATCCAAAGGGTCCTCAGTTTGTCCATTCCCTGAATTCTTTGATTATATGCTAAAGGCAGAACGGGCAGTTCCAGGCAACGACACTTTATTATTACAGGCATTTTTTAAAAAAAGTCTTCGCCATTCCAGCAGGCTCCTCTGATGGATGCTCCAGTAGTAGTCTTACATTTAGGAGCAGTTTTGTCTAAGGACGGGGACAACACGTTTAAGGATCAGTGGATAAAAGTAATAATGAGACCGCCCTAGGGAATCTCATGAAGCAGCCTCTCTGACAGTCAGAGCCCCCCCCCCTCGCTGTGCTCTCAAATTTTGTCAAGGCCATCGTGGTTTGGCTGATAACCTCCTTCAGGAGCCAGACACTGACCCCTTGATGCTTAAGAGATCCATCCTAAAGATCAAAAGGGCTGCAAGATTTGCAGCAGATGCATCCCCAAGAGGCCATGCAGTTCTGTGCCAGAGCACAGGCCACCAGTATAGTGGTCAGTAGGAAACGATGGCTAAAGCATTGGAAGGTGGACCCTCTTTCTAATTCAGATTTACCCACTTTTTAAAAAAAAGGTAGCAAAAGGATTTTAGGAGCTTCTGCACATTCAGCTATAGGTCCGGATTTCAGCAGAGACAGTTCCCTCCTAACAAACAGGACAGGAACCAACAAAACAAAGAGCAGCCACCTGACTATATGGTTGGGGGTCAACTCTAGGAGTTCCCCACATCTGGATGGAGTCTACGACCAATCAGTTGGTAGTCTCCATCATCTGGTAGGGATACAGGATAGAATTTCCCTTTCACCACCCATCTGCATTGCTTCTGTACTTTTCCACTTCCCAAGACAGAACAGAGATGCTTTTCTTCCATCGTGACCTATTCACCATTTAGTGCACATAGGGGCAGTGGAACCGATGCCCTTAGAACAGTGTTTCCAAGGGAATTATTCCATTCTGTTTGTAGTTCCAAAAGTTTCTGGGGACTGGAGAGCAATTCTAAATAAAAAGAGTTGAACCTGTGTTGAAGAAGCACAGGTTCCATATGGAATCACTTCACTGCATTCTGCAGAGTATTCAGTAGGACGATTACATGACATCCTTAGAGCTTCAAGATGCTTACCGAAATATTCCAGTTCACCCCACCTTCCAGACCTCCTTTGTTCAGATTTCATACCAGTGATACTCACTTGGGCCGGGATCCACCGATGGCTCTTTGAGAAGCCACTTGTGGTTATTCTGAGCACTGTTTAGAGTAATTCCAGGGGTGCTGTATTTTGCCCTTTAATTGCACGTGTGCAGTCCTGATGGCTGGCTACCAGAGGCTTGTGCCCGATGGTCCCCGAGTAGTGGAGAGTTTGCAGAACAAGACTTTCCCCCTTCTCACTGAACCACCGTAGTACCTAAGGGTCAGGGGATCTCATGAGCAGAGGAGCGGGTGAGTGGGGGGTGGGGGGATTGGAGAAAATTGAACCCCCGCTCCCCCTGCTGACTGAAGTGGGAAATGACTGCAGAACCCAAGCCCGTGCTTTTCACAGTCGTGTCCCCAATGCCCTTCTTCCTCCAGATGTCTCTCTGATGGAGGAGGCTGTCCAAGAACTGAACACCTGCCTTGCAAACGAGAACAGGCGGCTACAGGAGCTGGCCGATCTGCTGCAAGAAAAGCACCGCGCCATGTCGCAAGAGGTACAGAAGGAAAGGAATGTGCGCTGAGACCGTGTGGCGAAAACGAGGTGGTCAACAAAACAAGTTAACTGGAGTGTTTGCAACAGGGCCCTTCTGCTAGAGACGCTGAGGAAAGGGAGGAGATGTTGCTGACGACAGGCCTGTGTGCCAGCAGGAGATACGATGGGGCTGAGTGTTTCTTTCTTTCTGAGTGATGGAACTGGGTTTCTTTCTTCGGTCTCCTCTCTGTCCCACAGGCAATGCATACAGAGGGAAAACGGGGAATTTGGGGGGGTGTCAATGGGTTTGGGAGATCTCCCACTGTGCAAAAAAGAGGCTGGCCCAATTTCCCAAAGGAGACAGGATTCTGACCCGCCACATCCTTGCAAGGATGATGTGATTCCCCTGTCCCCAGACCTGGGACCCTGGAACAGATCCCCTTCTGATAGTTTGTCCGAGACTGGGTTTGGATCCTCACACATGCAGTAGAACGCCCCAATAAAAGCAACAGGCTTTATTGAAAAGATTAAAGAAGTGGTTCCGACTTAAGCATAAGGCAAGAATAAGTAGGTGCAGTAAGTCTCTCTTCCTACGTACACTTACATATGTGACGACAGGCAGGTTACAAATCTTCAAATTGGCTTAAGTAACAAAGCAGCATGTTGGAGACGCAGTGAGATGGTCCCTGGCCCTGATGGAAATATTGGGCCCTACTTAGAAAAGCTTGTCCCAAATGGTTGTAAGCTAACTTTATAGGAAAACTGGATCACTGACCCCCCTGACCAGTATAAGCCAATCAAAGGCGTGATCCAAAAGGCAATTACAGAAGAACTGGACTCCCCCTCCCATCTGAGTGTAGTTAAGTCAGATCGCTTTGATATTCAAAGATGGGACCCCAAGCTCTTCATCTTGGCTTGGGAACTGCAGAAGAGGGATAGGCATTTGACGCAGAATTCTCTCCAGTGCTGTTATTTAATGCTTGGATGGCATACCAGGAAACAGACTATTGCTTTAAATTTATGGCAGGGCCCAATGCTGATGTTTAAACTGTCAGGTTGATTGACACAGAGGTGACCATCTCTCTTGACACTGAATCACCATATTTGTTGATCACTGTCCTGTCCCATCCTTGTCCAAGGAGGCCTGGGAGATGCACGTGTCCATACAACCTAGTGATGTAGCTGGGCAAAGCATTTTCTCAGTACAAGCCTATTTAACTAGCAGCTCTTCCCAATCCATGTCCAGTGCTCTTTCCATTGCACCACATTGATTCTTTACTCAGTGTGTCTTGGTAGCATCGAAGAGAGAGCCAAGGCTTCCGGGAGAGGAAGTATCGACAAGCTGCGATATGAATGGGCTTGGGTTAAAGCTTGCCATTATGTCAGAACTGGAAAACTGCTGTCTGGGCTTTCAAAAGCAGGATTAAACCAGTGTTCGGAATCCTGGGTTGTAGGATCAAAGGGGCATGAGATGTAGGGAATAGATGGTGAGCTGTAATTTTGTGAAATCCGTGTATAAAGGAAAAGTAGAGAGGCCATTCCTAATAGCAGTGCTTGGTGATAACACCGTTCCCCTAGTTTTTCTAAGCTCGTTTGTAATGGCTAAGAAATCCCAAATCCTTGCTAAGTCTTTGGTAGGTTGGGGGTTCAAGTATCTTGACTTTTAATTTGGATCTGTTACACTGGAGATTGAGATGTTGTTCCACTGCTTTCTGAATACTGTCATTTCCCATTTCAGATTACTTTGAATTTCAGCCTGAGTGGATATGGGTACAGCATTGCCACTGTTGTTCCAGTATCCACTCAGGTTCTGACCCTCTCTCTTTTTTTTTGGGTGGCCCGTTGTTGTTGGTAAGAAGCTGATTCCAGTTGGGAAGCTGTCCATAAGCAAGGAAAGGTCTTTCACCCAAGGCAGACTGAAAGAAAAATATTGTTGTCTTGGATAGTTATAGACTGTTGCAAAAAATGGCAATCTTTAGCCATTTAGAAGGCTGGACTGGTAACCCAGAAGTAACCTCCTACAAGAGAACCCCCAAAGAGATAACCACTATTGTCTTCTACAGTTGCCAGCTCAAAGTATTCCAGCTCAAAGTATTCCAGTGCATTCCCCCACCAGCTAGAAATTTGGCTATATGCACAGTGCAAGCCAAGTTCAAAATTGTGACAAGTTTTATTTCTAATGATCAGTTCAGGAGATGAAGGTTGCCTTTATGGCGAGGTCAGCATTTTATGACACAGGATGGCAAGTTGGTCTGTAGAAATCTCTACCCTCCTGACCTGAGCTACCTTGGATTTGGGGAAGGGGAGATTTGTCATGGAAGCCAGAGGGATAATTTGAAAATAGCAGGCACACATTACAACTCATATTAGGGTGTGGGGATTTTCACTGATGGCCGGAAAAAATTTCTTTCCAGGTAGCATATTTAATAAAGGTTGTCCAAGTAAAGAATTTTTAAAAAATCCATGGGGATAAAAGTGTACAAAGTTAGGTTTCAGCAGTCACTCTGCAAATGAGCATGAAGAACACCGTTGCTTGTAGTGACCCACGTTCTTGTCTCTTCTGCTCCAGTTTTCCAAATTACAAGGGAAGGTGGAGACAGCAGAGTCTCGTGTGTCTGTGTTGGAGACCATGATCGAAGACCTCCAGTGGGACATTGACAAAATCCGCAAGCGGGAACAGCGGCTGAACAGGCATCTGGCAGACGTCCTAGAACGTGTAAGCACAAGGCCAGGCTGGGAGAGGCACAAGATGAAAAACCTTTCTACTCCACCCTTCCTTATAGGTGCTTGAGGTTACGTTGGATATCCAGCTTATTATGGCTAGGATGGATTTGGCTTATGACCAGGGGCAGTATGTAAGCTAGGATTTCACAAGAATTCATAAGAAATATTTGTAAAAGACCACACAGAATGTGAATCTGTACACCGAGAGAATTTCAGCTTATATTGTTTACCCCTCACTCAAGCTACGTTTTAAAGTCTGTGGGTAATGTTTATGGAAATTGTAGAAGCCAAGGGGTGGTTCAGTAAGCTTTCCAGTAGCTTTGCAGTGGGACTTCTTAGCTTTTCTGGTCCTTTGCATCATGGCAAAACTGGAATAAATTATGCATAGCATTGTAGCCCGTATGAGGTATATGAAGAGAAATGGTGTACCACCACATGCCCAGTTGGTGTAAATTGCAGCGTTTGGCTTAGCTTAGTACAGGATGTAAGTGTAGAGTAACGTACCCAACAAGGAGAGGAGCAATTCATTAACTGCATGCATTATGCAGGGCAGATGGATTTGATAAGATCTGCTGACACCCTGGGCTTTTTTCCCCTTCTGAATGTGGAAGCCGGGTTTCTAGCTCTCATAAGAACCTAACATAAGAGAAACCGATGTTGGATCAGGCCAGTGGTCCATCCAGTCCAACACTCTATCACACAGTGGCACCAAGAATACAGAGCATCACTTGCCCCAGACTGAGCGTTCCTATCTTTACCTTGTGGCTAATAGCCTCAGATGGATCTCTGCTCCATATGCTTATCTAATTCCCTCTTGAAGCCATCTCAAAGTACCAAAGAGTGTTTTGAAGGGTGGTAGAGCGGGGAGGCCACCTCTGTCTTCACTAATCAGCGTTTAATGTTGACGTTTATTATCAGGTACCTAGAACTAAGCCTGTTTATGTAAAACCCAGATTACCTGCCACGGTGAAGAATGATGATTAAAGATCTCTCCTCCTTATTCATGGGTACTTGGAAGTAAGCCCCATTATACTTGTTGGATCTCATTTATGAGTCAGCTTACATAGATTTGGGACTGAAACAGCTGTCTTTTACGTGTGAAGGTGAAGCGTCTTTAATCTTCGTTGAAAAAAATACCCTCATGCATCATCTTTGCAGGTGAATTCGAAAGGATACAAGGTGTACGGGGCAGGGAGCAGTCTGTATGGGGGCACCATCACCATCAACTCTCGTAAGGTGACTCTCACGACTATGCGGGGATAGCTGGGCGAGAGACGCAAAGCGAGGTCTTAACTGTGATGCCCTCCTCTGCCTTCTCCCGTACAGTTTGAGGAGATGAATGCAGAGCTCGAGGAGAACAAGGAGCTTGCTCAGAACCGCCTGAGTGAAGTGGAGAAGCTGCGTCAAGATTTCGAGGAGGTGTCAAGTCAAAACGAGAAGCTGAAGGTAGTGGAAGCACACTTCTTTTTCTGAATGAAACCCGGAGACATATGTCATCTTTCTTTCTTTCTTTCTTTACTTATTTATTTATTTTTTACATTTGTATCCCACCCTCCCCAGTGGGCTCAGAGCGGCTAACAGAGGCAAGGTCGTTAGTCTTGCCATAGATAAAAACATAATAAAAACATCCAACACTAAAACCACAGTACTCTATCCAATTACTAGTGTCCTAGATCCAAGGGGGTATCACCGCAGTTCCAGATAGTGCTCCCATGGTGTGTGTGTCCAGTGGCGACGGCTTATCAGATCTTCTGTAATTTCTAGGTTCTACCTCGGGCCTCGTCAATGCCTCCATTAAGATGTCTTGACGGTGATGGTATAGTAGGGCGGCGGCTCCTACTCAAAAGCCTGGCGGAAGAGCTCCGTTTTGCAGGCCCTGCGGAACTGCACAAGGTCCCGCAGGGCCCGGATCTCCCCTGGGAGCTCGTTCCACCAGGTAGGAGCCGCCACCGAAAAAGCCCTGGCCCTGGTCACAGCTAGTTTGGCATCCTTGGACCCACTCCCAGTTTGTGTGTACTTCTACTTAATACGTTTATATGCCTCTTTTACACTAGAATACTAATACAGAGTTTTAAAAAGTTAGCAGATAACCAACAGTACAAAATGACAGCATCAAAGTAAAAGTCAGGTTCTTAAAAAAAAAAAAAAAAGCACAACCCACCTGGAGCGAGAGCTAGTGATAATAAATAGTGGTGGAAACAGAGGTCATTTCGGGGGGGAACGTGGGGGAACACAGTTCCCCCGGGTGAGGTACGGGCGGGGCACATGATGAAGCCCGCCCCCCTGCTTCCGGCCCCCCCGCTTCCGGCCCTCATTCAGCCAGGAGGAGGCAGGAGAAGAGGGAGGGTAAGTTGCTTCCTCCCTGCCTCTCCCCATCCCTGCCTGCCTGGGGCCAGGGAGGGCCTTCGCTGGGCTTCCTTGCACTCCCAACACTCCCCCTCATGGGGCTCGGCAGTGGAGCTGCAAGGCCGTCATCGTCGTCGTCCGGGACCGTTGGGAGCGCGGGGTGTGTGGCCTTATGACACACTTCCGGTGATGCCAGGGGGTGTGGCCTTATGACACACTTCCGGTGATGTCGGGGTGTGGCATATGCTAATGAGTTATGCTAATGAGTTCTCCTAGCTCTTTTTCTACGAAACGACCCCTGGGTGGAAAGGGCTGTCAAGCCACATCTGACTGAAGGTGGAAACCCCCCCCCCCCACACACAGAGTTTTCTAGCCAAGAGCTGAACAGAGGTGCTTTGACATCACCTGCCTCTGCACAGCAATCCTGCTCTTCCTGGGTGGACTCCCGTCCAAGGACTGGCCAGGGCTGACCCTGCTTATCTCCTAAGAGCTGATGAGATCAGGCTAGCCTGGGCTGTCCGGGTTAGGACAATGATAAAGTAAGCCGTATGAAATCTCAACTGAAGTAGGTCAGATTCATAACCAGTAAAATGACAGAAGATTATCAAAGCAATTTGGGAAAGACAAAAGCTTGGTGGAGGATGAAAGAGTTAACCTGCTTTCTAGAAGGTTAGCAGGAAGTGGCCAGCTGGATGTGTGCAGGGACAGACGATACGTTTTTCTAGCCTTTAATACGCTGCTAGACTTCTGTCTTATTTTGCTTCAGAGTTTAGGGGTCTGCTGAAAATGCCCTGATCTGTTTTGGTGATGAATAGGCATGCGGCATTTTGCAATGGACTTTTGGTGTCGGAAACAATTTCAGGTGGGGGATTAAAAGGAGGGGTTAGACCAGAAACTCAGGCAAAGATGCAAACGGCAGCTTCCTTTTAAAGAGCAGGTAGCTATGTCAGGCCTCCATATTGTGACTGGTGGACTGCTTTAGTTGTACCAGAGGCCAGGATTTAACTTCCCTTCTAGCGAAGGTTGGTTGGAAGGTGGAAAGTCCAGAGCAATAACTCATTCAGGTGTGCAGTAGGGTGGGTCCACTGGGTCCCAAAAGCCTTTAATGATTTGATTAATTCTGTTTCTTGCAACATTCTAGTGTGGCCTGTGCAAACTTGCATCTTTCATCTTGTTTTGTGAACTCTTTAGCAAGCTTTTACTAGCTTTCTTTAAAGACATCTGGGGCTGAATTTTTAATTTTATTCTGAACATTGTTTTGGCTTTATTTCAGTAATTCCGTTTGGCTTTCGAGCCAAGATTGTAGGTAGCAGGATTGGCTCATTTACAAAACAACGACGACAACAAAAACACAGCGGCTGTATCATGTCGAAGAAACCCCCAGTCTGCAGGTTGTAGGGTCTTAAAATGGAGTTCAGGATGTTGGATTAGGTTGTATTGAGTGCAAAATAGCTTTCAAGGGGTACCAAAGGCCTTCTGGAAGAGGAAAGCCAATGAATGGCAACATTCCCTTTGAGAATGTAACAGCCAGCAGTTAGTCAGATATCTCCATAGCACTGAGTGGTGCACACAAGTCTCCAGTAAGGCAGAGAGCAGAAGAAAAACAACATGGTATTTGTGTTAATGATGCTGGACATTGATTTTTCACTGAAGGTTCGATGTAAGCCAAACTGGGTTACGTTACCTAGTGCTTGGAGGGCAAGTGATCCCCATGAGCAAAGTTGCATGTAAAGATAATCTTCTTTCCTTAAATGATTTAAATGTGGTGTTTCCCAAAAAGAAGACTGTAGGTTGCTTTAATAGTCCACTGATAAAATTCTAAAATCTGGAAAAGAATTCCGAACATATACTTTTTTATTCAGACTAACCAAAATCTCACAAAGTAGCTGGCAAGCCTTTTGAGTTTCTTAGAAACTGTCTGGGAATTTTGATGCAATGCTGTCCCTGTGTGGCCAGTGAAAGAATCTGCAGAGTGAATGCCTCCCTCCCTCCCTTAGCAGCTTGATATATAGATCAACTTCTCCTTTGTGTGTGGGAAGCGATTTCAGAGTATTAAAATAAATGCAGTTAGTGTCATTTTGTGATCTACGTCTGATGTCTAAAAAAAGTCGGGGTAGGTGGAACTGGTAATTTCTCAATTTCCATTTTTTTAAAAAAAGAGAAGTTCCATGTTTTAGACAGAGCCAGCAGGGTATAGTGGTCCAAGTATCGGCCTGTGACATGAGATGAAGGTTTCCCTTGCTCGAAAGCTAGACAAATCCGACTCTAGGGGGCGGTGCTCATCTCCGTTTCAAAGCCGAAGAGCCAGCGTTGTCTGAAGACATTTCCATGGCCATGTGACCGGCATGACTAAATGCCAAGGCACGTGGAACACTTTTAACCTCCCACCCAAGCGGTACCTATTTATCTTTCTTGCTTTCGAACTGCTAAGTTGGCAGGAGGTAACATGAGATAAAAAGGTAAAGGTTCCCTTGCTCAAAAGCCAGTCGAATCCGACTCTAGGGTTGCGGTGCTCATCTCTGTTTCAAAGCCGAAGAGCCAGCACTGTCCGAAGACATTTCTGTGGTCATGTGCCTGGCATGACTAAACACCAAGGCGCACGGAACGCTGTTACCTTCCCACTGAAGTGGTACCGATTTATCTACTTGCAATTTCTTGCTTTCGAAATGCTAGGTTGGCAGGAGAACTTGATATTCCCAGATCCAATTCCCAGATCCAAATCCTTGCTTAGCCATGAAGCTTACTGGGTAGCTTTGAGCCAGTCATACTTTCTCAAGCTAATTACCTCACAGGCAGTGTTCCCTGTAAGCTGAGTTAGTGTGAGCTAGCTCACAGTTTTTGAGCCTCCAGCTCACAGATTTTTGTCTTAATTCAGGAAGGGTGGCTCCAGAGCAAACTAATTTATGCAGTAGCCAAATCGCTTGCTTACAGGGAGGTGGATTGAAATTGTCCACTGAGACCATGGCTAGTGACATGGACTGCCTGACAAGGTCTCGAGATTGCAAGAGGAAGGTGGCAGGCTTAACCAGTATGGGAAATTACAGCTGTTTCTATACAAATGCTCGAAGTGTCCGAGGTAAAATCGGGGAGTTGGAGTGCTTGGTGTCAGAGGGAAAAATAGACATTGTGGGTATTTCAGAAACTTGGTGGGATGAGGAAAATCAGTGGGATACGGTGATTCCCGGTTATATATTATATCGGAAGGATAGGGGGGGAAGGGTTGGAGGTGGGGTGGCTCTGTATGTCAGAGAGGGTATAAAGTCCAGAAAGATCGAGAGGCTAAGAGAATTGGATTCGCTTCTTGAAGTTCTGTGGGTTGAAATAGGGGGGCCAAAAGGAAACTTAACACTGGGAGTTTGTTATCGCCCACCGGATCAAAAGATAGAGGAGGATTATAAAATGATGAATGAATTAAAGATAGCAGCTAGACAAAAACACTGTGTCGTAATAGGTGATTTTAACTACCCACACATTGATTGGGTCAATATGTGTTCTAGTCGAGAGAAAGAGATTGAGTTTCTAGACACTCTAAATGACTGTGCTATGGAGCAGATGGTCATGGAACCTACCAGGGGAGAGGCGATCCTTGATTTGGTCCTAAGTAACACTCAAGACCTGGTGAGAGATGTAAAAGTGATTGCACCGCTTGGGAACAGTGATCATAATGTTGTTGAGTTCAACATTTGTACAAATAGGGAATTGGCCAAAAAGACTCACACAACCACTTTTAACTTTAAAAGGGGTAATTTTTCTGATATGAGGGGACATGTGGGGAGGAAACTGAAGGGAAAAGTAGAAAGGGTCAAAACCATTGGGGAAGCTTGGAAACTGTTTAAAACTACAATTCTAGAAGCTCAAATAAAATATATTCCGCAGGTTAGGAAAGGCACAAACAGGTATAAGAAAAAGCCTACATGGTTAACAAACAAAGTAATGGAAGCTGTAAAAGGTAAAAAGGATTCCTTTAAGCGGTGGAAAGCTAGTCACAGTGAGGCTGATAAAACAGAACACAGGCTATGGCAAATAAAATGCAAGTCTGTGGTCAGGCATGCAAAAAGGGAATATGAGGAGCATATAGCAAAAAATGTAAAGACCAACAATAAAACTTTCTTCAAATACATTAGAAACAGGAAACCAGCCAGGGAGGCAGTGGGGCCCTTGGATGACCAAGGGGTAAAAGGAGTACTGAAGGATGATAGGGAAATGGCTGAGAAGCTAAATGCATTTTTTGCCTCCGTCTTCACTGTGGAAGATGAGAGGTGCTTGCCCACTCCAGAGCCGCTGAGTTCGGGAGGGGTGTTGAAAGACCTGAGTCAGATTGAGGTGACGAGAGAGGAGGTCCTAAAACTGATAAACAACTTAAAAACTGATAAATCACCAGGCCCAGATGGCATACATCCAAGAGTTCTGAAAGAACTCAATTGTGAACTTGTGGATCTCCTGACAAAAATATGTAATCTCTCCTTAAAATCAGCCTCCATTCCTGAGGACTGGAAGGTAGCTAATGTCACTCCCATCTTTAAAAAGGGTTCCAGAGGAGATCCGGGAAATTACAGGCCAGTCAGTCTGACGTCGATACCGGGTAAATTGGTGGAAACCATTATTAAGGAAAGAATTAGTAGGCACATAGATGAACAAAACCTATTGAGGCAGACTCAACATGGGTTCTGTAAGGGAAGATCTTGTCTCACTAACCTGTTAGTGTTCTTTGAGGGGGTGAACAAACATGTGGACAAGGGGGATCCAATAGATATTGTTTACCTTGACTTCCAGAAAGCTTTTGATAAAGTTCCTCATCAAAGGCTCCTAAGCAAGCTCAAAAATCATGGGATAAAAGGACAAGTCCTTTTATGGATCAAAAACTGGCTAATTAATAGAAAACAGAGAGTGAGTATAAATGGGCAGTTCTCCCAGTGGAGGGGTGTAAGCAGTGGGGTACCACAGGGATCAGTACTTGGTCCACTGCTTTTTAACTTGTTCGTTAATTATTTGGAGTTGGGAGTAAGCAGTGAAGTGGCTAAATTTGCGGATGATACAAAGTTGTTCAGGGTGGTGAAAACCAGTGAGGATTGTGAGGCACTCCAAAGGGATCTGTCAATTTTGGGCGAGTGGGCGTCAACATGGCAAATGGGGTTCAATGTGGCCAAGTGCAAGGTGATGCACATTGGAGCCAAAAATCCTAACTATAAATACACGTTGATGGGGTCTGAACTGGCAGAGACTGATCAAGAGAGAGATGAGGGAGTTGTAGTGGATAACTCACTGAAAATGTCGAGACAGTGTGTGACTGCAATAAAAAAGGCCAATGCTATGCTGGGGATTATTAGGAAGGGTATTGTAAACAGATCAGCCAATATCATAATGCCCCTATATAAATCAATGGTGAGACCTCATTTGGAATACTGTGTGCAGTTCTGGGCACCACACCTTAAAAAGGATATTATAGCTTTGGAAAAAGTGCAGAAAAGGGCAACTCGAATGATAAAAGGGTTGGAACACTTTCCCTATGAGGAAAGGTTAAGGCGCTTAGGGCTCTTTAGCTTGGAGAAACGACGACTGAGGGGTGACATGATTGAGGTTTATAAGATTATGCATGGGAAAGAGCAGGTAGAGAAAGAGGTACTTTTCTCCCTTTCTCACAATACAAGAACCCGTGGGCACTCCATGAAATTGCTGAGCGGTCGGGTTAGAACGGATAAAAGGAAGTACTTCTTCACCCAAAGAGTGATTAACACTTGGAATTCACTGCCACAGGAAGTGGTGGCAGCTACAAGCATGGACGGCTTCAAAAGGGAATTAGATAAGCATATGGATCAGAGGTCCATCAGTGGCTTAGCCACAAGGTATAGATAGGGACTCTGGGGCAAGTGATGCTCTGTCATCTTGGTGCTTGGGGGGGTCAACAGTGGGAGGGCTTCTACTGTCCTGGCCCCACTTATGTTCTTATGTTCTTATGAAAGGTTAAAGCGCTTAGGGCTCTTTAGCTTGGAGAAACGACAACTGATGGTGGCGACTACAAGCATGGATGGCTTCAAGAGGGAATTAGATAAGCATATAGAGCAGAGGTCCATCAGTGGCTATTAGCCACAAGGTATAGATAGGGACTCTGGGGCAAGTGATGCTCTGTCATCTTGGTGCTTGGGGGGGTCAACAGTGGGAGGGCTTCTACTGTCCTGGCCCCACTGGTAGACCTCCTGGTGGCACCTGGTATTTCTGGCCACTGTGTGACACAGAGCGTTGGACTGGATGGGCCTTTGGCCTGATCCAACATTGGCGTCTCTTATGTTCTTATGGAGCCTTTGAGGAAGAGAACTAGGGACTCAGGGTCAGGAGTTGGGATTCTAGAGGAGCCCAGGCTGGTGCCTTTATTTTTTACATTGTCACATTTTTCATCAGCTAACATAATTCAGCTTTTGCATGCCTTGAGTTTTTGAATGGCACAAACATTCTTCTGGAATTGGACATTTTTTTTCTCCTGTAGTGCATATTTTGTGTTTGTGGTTATATATATATATAAAAAGCTGGCATGATCAGGACAATTGAATGGTGCAGCTGGTGTTGGACTCGCACCACTTTGGTTTGTAGGAGACTTTGTGGCTTGTGAGGCTTAGCTTCTCAAGAGTCCTTGCTGGGCAACCTGGGAGGAACGAAGAGAGTCTTTGCTACCAGTGCTGTACCTTAGAAGCCGAATGGCAACTGGCAGTCTCTGCAGTGGGCATTCTGTGGATTTTAGGAAAAGGCTTTACCGAGAGTGTTCAGAAGAAGAATGCTGGCAGAGCTGAAGACATTTCTCATGAGTGACTGCCATGTCGACTCTGCAGTTAATTCCCTTCTCTATTAATGTGTGGTCTCCACTGGGGAGGGAAGGTGCTCCGTCTTTCTTGAGCTTCTCATCTGCCCATAAAAGTGAGAATCGTCTGCACCAAAGCTGGTCTCCTTTTTATTTTCCCCCCTCCAGCGTGATGAAGTCAGTCTCCACAAGAAATTACGCACCGAGGTCATTCAGCTAGAGGATACCCTCGCCCAAGTCCGCAAGGAGTACGAGATGCTGCGGATTGAGTTTGAACAGACACTGGCAGCCAATGAACAAGCAGGTCGGTTAGCTATTTATTTAGCATACTGTGAACCAAAGTGGTGCCTGGGATGGTTTACCAATATTCAGTGAAGTTGGTTATACAATAGATACTTCCACGTCAAATCTCATAGTATGAGACCTTATCTTGGATACACAGTTTAACCTGCAGCCTCAGCTGCACACAGTGTTGAACAGCTTTCAGCAGCCTTTGTCAGCCTTTTTGCATTAGATCAACTTGTTCTGTAAAAACTGGTTGATCTATCAGGCCTTCCCCAAGCACTGAGGATTCTGCTTCATTTCAGCAGTACCCCTTTTTGAGAGGGGTTTTTAAATTCTTGTTAAATACTTGTTTGCAGTGCACTTTCTTTCTTACTTTCAGGTCTGGCCATACTTTGCCCACCCCTTCTTCTCTAACGGACCACCATGGTCACATGGTTTAAAGATTTCCCCATGATTATAGAGAGTTGCTGTAGAATCTTGACTATATGGACTTGTAGCCTGCATGGCCTGGAGAAATCCAGAAATGATGTGCAGCGTTTTGTGTTTACAAATCAAAGAAGGTGTGAGATGAGCTTCCGGCAGCCAGAAAGGGAGATCTGCTTGGGTTTTTTTTGGCGTCTCCCTTGTCCTTTCATTTCTTACTCCTCTGGAGACAATGTAGTATTTTGTTTCCTAGTAAACCCTAGAAGATGATGTAGTGCAGAACTTGGGTATCCGTTTTAGATTCAGCAAGGCAGTTTTTATGCCCTAACTGTGGAGATCTCCCTGTAACTCTCCTGTGCAATGGTTTCTGTGTAGGTCCCATCAATCGGGAGATGCGTCACCTCATCAGTAGCCTCCAGAATCACAACCACCAGCTGAAAGGGGAGGTGCTGAGGTACAAGCGGAAGCTGAGGGAGGCTCAGTCTGACTTGAGCAAGGTACGTGACATGGCAGAGGGAGGAGCTTTTGGGGAGCTGTGCTTGGTTAGGTCCAGCAATCTATCTGCTTTGAGGTGTGGAGAATGGGCCTCTGGGGACCGGTGTTCTTTTTTTGTTTGAATGCTTGCATTCCCAGGCGGCCTTCAGTACTCTGGCAATGGCCCCAAACCCATGCAAACTGTAAACTTGAAGATGCATGTCAGTTCTCTAAAATAACCTCAGAGTTATATGAGTGTGACATGGGAGATGAGTATGTCAAGGGACTGATGGACGCAAGCTTAGTGGGCTGCAGGAGGAGGAGGAAAGTCCGTGGATGGTAAGGAATCCCTAAGAGAAAGCATTGCTTATACATTGTGTGTGTGTGTGTATCTTTCCCTCCCATTCTCCCAGACCCGTTCCCGTAGCGGCAGCGCCCTCCTGCACTCCCAGTCCAGCACCGAGGACACCAAGGAGGAGCTGCCCGAGATCAAACAGGAGCCCGATGATGTCTCTGCTCCATCTGCCTCCTCCAAGGCTCCCCCGGAGGATACCTCTGAAACCAAGGCAAAGCGAGATGAGGAGGAGAGGGAGCGCGAGAGGCGGGAGAAGGAGCGGGAGCGGGAGAAAGAGAAGGAGAAAGAGAAGGAGAGAGAGCGGGAGAAGGAGAAGGAAAAAGAGCGGGAGCGGGAGAAGCAGAAGCAGAAGGAGTCCGAGAAGGAGAGGGAGTCTGCCAAAGAGAAGGACAAAGGGAAGCACGACGACGGGCGGAAAAAGGAGGCAGAACTGATCAAGCAGCTGAAGGCGGATCTCAAGTAAGGCGGGTCCTGCAGTTGTCGTGCCTTAATGGCGAGCTGAAGGGACAGGCCATATTCAGAACTGCTTGCTTCTCCAGCAGCGCTGCTTGTTATCCTGCTTCTCAAGGCTCCAAGTGGCGTGCAAATAATCATAATGCCAAGCTGTTAGAGGAAGTTAGGCTGCTTACATGGCAGGCACTGGAAGACTCTGAGCTGAGCTTTCTAGAAGGGGGTGCAGAGGCTTCTTGGTAGTTGCAGGGATGACCACATGTGTCTTTTCAGACACCCTTCCTGTATGGTTGTCCAAATGTGGTCGGTGACGATAGCGAAGCCATGGGTATAGGAGTCACCGTGGAGCCTGCCCAGCCCAGCCCATTCTTGTTTTCGTGCATTCACTTTGCACGATGTCTGATCATCTACCAATGAGTCATCTTGAGTTATTTCTTTACTGCCAGGATAGGACACTGGAAAGAGCGTAAGTCAGTGGGGCAAAGTGGTCCCCACCCCATTTCAGGATTTAGAACTATCCGATGGGAAGGTGGAATCTACCATTATGTGTCAGGGTCTGCAGCTTCTTTCCTCAGGCATGCCAATCCCCTCGTTTCTTGAATGAGCAATGATTGCTGTCAGTGTTCCCTCTAAGCTGAGTTAGTGTGAGCTAGCTCACAGTTTTTTAGCCTCTGGCTCACCCATTTTTGTCTTAGCTCAGGAAGGATGGCTCCAGAGCATACTAAGATATGCAGCAGCCAAATGGCTCGCTCACAACTTTAATGCCAGTAGCTCACAAAGTAGAATTTTTGCTCACAAGACTCTACAGCTTAGAGGGAGCATTGATTGCTGTATACTTCCTCTGGGACACCCAGTTATGACCATGTCTGAAGCCAAAAACCACTTGTTAGTCTCTTCTTGATTGGCTGTACCAAATGTGCTAGGATGGAACCTTCCCCACCTTCCCCCCAAACGACTTGAGAGTCTCGAGTTGGTTGTTGCCGTCCTGGCATGGGCGCAGGGGGTGGCGGTGGGAGGTGCTCGCGCTTCTTGATTTGAAGTAGACGGCGTTGCCCTCTTGTGGCCCTTGCCACAACCTGATGTGTATCTGTTATCTTTCCCTTTGTTTAGGAAGGCCCAGGAAAGCCAGAAGGAAATGAAGTTGTTGTTAGATATGTACCGCTCTGCCCCAAAGGAGCAAAGAGACAAAGTCCAATTAATGGCTGCGGAGAAGAAGGCCAAAGCTGAGGTAATCCTCTCTGCCATTGTCCCGTCTCTCTTGTCCAGTAGAGAGTAGATTTGAAACGGTTTCTGTCGTATCTGCAAAAACCTCAGTTTTACCTTGTGGGACAGAGTTCTGTCTAGGATGACACCCCCCTCTAATGTTTTATTTTGGATCTAGGCGATCACAGCTAATTCCTTGAAAATATATACTTTTCTAGAAAAATGTCCTCAAGGAGATTTTGAGTGAAGTTTGGTACCTTACGGCTGCTCTGACCTAGATGGCCTGATCTTGTCAAATCTCGGAAGCTAATCAGGGCTGGCCCTGGCTAGTCCTTGGATGGGAGACCGCCAAGGAAGTCCAGGGTTGGTGTGCAGAAGCAGGCAATAGCAAACCACCTCTGTCCGTCCCTTGCTCGAAAAACCCTACGGGGTCACCGTCAATCGGCCATGACTTGATTGCACTTCCCCCAGCCTTAGGGTTCTCCTTACCTTGACCCGGATAGCCTAGGCCAGCCTGATCTCATCAGCTCTCAGAAGCGAAGCAGGGTTGGCTCTGGCTAGGATGAGAGACCTCCAAGGAATACCAGGGTTGTGATGCAGAGTCAGGCAATAGCAAACCACCTCTGAACATCTCTTAAATCGCACACTTTTGCAGCCGACGGGGATTGTGTTCAGCTGTAAGCTTCAGGCGTGTTCCGGTCGGCATTCACTTCGGCTTGGCTAGATGATGTCAGTTCTTCCAGGACTACTTTGAATCGTAGTACCGCACTGCCACCGCCTGGCCGGATTGGCCCATCACAGGCTTCTTAATGCCGAAGAGGTCTTTTTTTCCAGGCTTCCGAGCTTCCGAGCTGGATCTTCCGTTCACCGGCTAACACCTTCCCCACGGGGGTTTAGTGTGCCCACCCTCTCTAAGGAGTGATACCCATTTTATCTACTCGCCGAAGCTTTCGAACCGCTGGGTGGACGGCAAGCTGGGGACAAGACTGGTAGCTCACACCAGCGCGGGCTAGAACTGACAGCAGCTCTGTTCAGTTCAGATGTTAACCAGAGGATAAATCCTCTGTGCCTAGGCCAGCCTGATCTCATCAGATCCCAGAAGCGAAGCAGGGTCGGCTCTGGCTAGGATGAGAGACCTCCAAGGAATACCAGGGTCATAGCACAGAGGCAGGCAATAGCAAAGCACCTCTGAACGTCTCTTGCCTTGAAAGCCCCGTGGGGTTGCCCTAAGTCAGCTGTGATTGAAAGCCAAAAAACTAACAGAGTTCTCATTAGAGAGAGAGAGAGGAACATCCTTTCCAGTTTTAAAACCTCATTCCCTTTCTTCTCACATCCCTCTTCTGCTTGCTGCAGTTGGAAGACCTAAGACAAAGACTGAAGGAACTGGAGGACAAGGAGAAGAAAGAGAGCAAAAAGATGGCTGACGAGGATGCCCTCCGGAAGATCCGGGCAGTGGAGGAGCAGATTGAATACTTGCAGAAGAAACTGGCTATGGCTAAGCAGGTGAGGAGTGTTTCCTTCTTTGGAAGTGTGGCGGTCACAGTCTCAGAGATGCTGGGCCTCTGGTTTCTTGCAGTGAACAAAGGGCGATGGGCCGGTGCGAAGGTGATGTCCTCTGTCCCTGTTTTTTTGCCACTAGCCACACTAAGTGATGTTTCTGCTCTTTTCTTGGCCATCACGTATCACTGGTAAACCAGTTGGCTAGGAGGTATTTGCATCATCTGCATTGTGTCTTGCGTTTCATTCCAAACCTGGCCCCAAGAATTTATATCCAAAAATCTGCACAATGAGTTCAAGGAGGAAGGGGGGGGGGTCCTCCCAGGTCCTCCCAGATTTGCAGAAAAAAGTGGTGGTAGGGGGTGGGGAGCAGTGTTCCCTCTAAGCTGAGTTAGTGTGAGCTAGCTCACAGTTTTTTTAGCCTCCGGCTCACACCTTTTTGTCTCTGCTCAGGAAGGATGGCTCCAGAGCAAACTCATTTATGTAGCAGCCAAATCGCTCTTTCACAACTTTAATGCCAGTAGCTCATGAAGTAGAATTTTTGCTCACAAGACTCCACAGCTTAGAGGGAACATTGGTGGGGAGCAGAAAAAAGCCCTGTGCTGTGATCTTGTGAGGCTCTAGGCGGCCCCAGGATGGCTGCCAAGATCTTGCCTTGGGAGATTTCTGTGGTCATCACAGAGGAAGAAGAATTGGAGGGTAGCAGAGCTAGTACAGGAGGAAAATTGAGCAAAAGGCTGAGAAATGGGGACTGGAAGGGGGGGGGGAGGAAATCCTCTCCACCATAAGCTTTGTGAGCCTTCATTGTGTGTGTGTGTGTGCGGTATGTGTGGTATGTGTACCCCACACAACTGAATTCTGAAGGTGCCCTAGAGCAGACTGGGCTGTCGAATGGGGAATCGTTTTCTAAATCACACTAAAAAGCCCCAAGAACGCTATTGCAGGAGAAACCTGTGGCATCCTTTCTCCCATGTATGACTATCAGTTCCTGACTGTGGAAAATCAAACCGGTCACAACATCTTCCATGCTGTCGGTGGGCTATTTATTCCACACGTTTCACTCCTCCCAGTCACTCTCCGGGTTATGACCTTGATTTAAGTTCGTCTTTGGGTCACCATAGAAGGGCAGGGCTGAGCTGACGGCCTGACTTCCCGGCCCGTTTACAGGAGGAAGAAGCCCTGCTCTCTGAAATGGACGTGACGGGCCAGGCCTTCGAGGACATGCAGGAGCAGAACATCCGCCTGATGCAGCAGCTGAGGGAGAAGGACGATGCCAACTTCAAGCTCATGTCGGAACGCATCAAGTCCAACCAGATCCACAAGCTGCTGAAGGAAGAGAAGGAGGAGCTGGCGGACCAGGTTCTGACCCTGAAGACACAGGTAATTAATGGGGCTCCGGGAGATGGAGCAGCAGAAAGCAAGCCTTAAGAACCTTAAGAACATAAGAGAATGCCAATGTTGGATCAGGCCAAAGGCCCATCCAGTCCAACACTCTGTATCACACAGTGGCCAGAAATACCAGTGCCATCAGGAGGTCCACCAGTTGGGCCAGGACATTAGAAGCCCTCCCACTGTTGACCCCCAAGCACCAAGAAGACAGAGCATCCCTTGCCCCAGAGTCCCTATCTATACCTTGTGGCTAATAGCCACTGATGGACCTTCTTGAGCTGAGGCATGCATTAAGACTGTGGCTCTGTCAACACCTGAGAAATTTATTTTGCTATATTCTAGTTGGGATTATGGGTATGCCACGTTTTCTGTAGGATCACAGGATGCGTAATTACCGTGACCTTGGGGCAGTTTTGGAGCCCCCGGGGCCCTTAGAGGCTCAGTACTTCTTTCCCCTCCGTGTTTGCCTTTTGAAGGTGGATGCCCAGTTGCAGGTTGTACGGAAGCTGGAGGAGAAGGAGCACCTGCTCCAGAGCAACATCGGGACAGGAGAGAAGGAGCTGGGCTTGCGGACCCAGGCCCTGGAGATGAACAAACGGAAGGTAACGGCCCCTGTCCCGCAAAACGAATTCTGCCTGCCTGCTGCGGACCGCTGTGTGAGCTCTTGAAAGGCGGCGGGCGGGCGGGCGACCATTCTGTTTGATCTCCTTTGTGGGAGAGCACACTGCGAAGTCTCAAATCAAGCTGTAATTAGGGCACAGGAAACAGAAATTACAGGCTCTCTGGAGTTTTTTTTTTAAAAAAGAGAGAAGGCAGTGACCACAAAGCAGTATGACCGAGATGAGAAAGGGCAGTGGATGAAAGGAACAACTGAGCACCTAAGGAGTAAGGAAGGGCCGGCCAGATGAAAATAATGAGGCTGGCTGAGGTTTTCCGGGAGAGAGGAGAAGGCAGGGAGGATCTCAGGGAAGGAGAATGAACCAAGGGGCTGGAGGTCAGGGGAAGAAGAGAAGGTAATGAGGGTGTTGTGAAAGTGTTCTCCGCCTCCTGAGATCACACGGGTGCCACCAGCATGGGTGGCGTTACCGTGTCTGCAAAAGCTCCGCTTCTGAGGGGTGTGAATTCCTGAGACAGGGAGGACAACCCCGCTGGGGCTTCTTAGCCCAGCACTCTGATTCTGATGGCAGCCAGCCAGAATCCAGGCATGGGCTTGCAGGGGAAGGAGGGGTGCTTCCAGAAAGTGGGCTGGGCCCACAGCCTGAAGGGACCCCCAACCTGTCTGCACCCGATTTTCTGGCCTTGTGATGTGATAATAGATGAGGCTTTGGACTGGTTTAATTCTGGATCCGTCGATGATGTACGTAGGCTGGTTCTTTTCTCAGAACATCCCTTTTAAGGCTTAAAAAACAAACACAGAGAGTTGAGAGGAAAACCGGTGGGCTTGGGATCAGAATACAAGGCAGGAGAACCCCGTTGGCAGCTGCGATGGCTCTCCTGTGGTGTGTGTTTGTTCCTGATTTGGCCATCAGTGATTCAGAGGATACATGTTACTTTCTCTGAAATTTCTAATTCCATCCCATTTGGCGGGGGGGAAGTTCCCCCATACTTAGTCTTACTGTGAGAGTTGAGAATAAAATTATCAGCAATCTTCACGCCTTAATATATATAAAAAAGAATATTCTGGAGTTAGGAAAGGTGCAGAAAGAGGTGACCCATGTGAGCAAAAAGAAGGAGGAGAGTACATTTTTATGCCCTGGTTTTCTCGATCTTAAGGAGTCTTAAAGCAGCTTACAATCATCTTGCCTTCCTCTCCCCACAACTTGTGAGGTAGGTGGGGCTGAGAGAACTCTGAGAGTTCACCCAGCAGGCGTCTCACGTGTGTGTGTGGGGGAAATCAAACCTGGTTCTCCAGATTAGAGTCCACTGCTCTTAACCACTACACCACGCTGGCTGATCAAGGGGTTGGAGCACTTTCCCTTATGAGGGAAGACAAAACGAGTACAGGCATTTTTAGTTTAATAAAACAGTGCGTAATCAGGGACGTGACAGAGAAACAGAAAGTAATGCGTAGTTTGGAGAAAGGGGTGAAGGAAACTTTCCTTTTTTAACCCATCAGGAGAGGAGGGGAGGAGGAGGAGGAGATTGGATTTATACCAGTCTCAGAGCGGCTTACAAACTCCTTTCCCTTCCCCTCCCCACAACAGACACCCTGTGAGGTGGGTGGGGCTGAGAGAACTCTGACACAGACTGCTCTTTTTCAAGGACAGCTGTGCCAGAGCTTGGGACTGACCCAAGGTCACATCAGCAGGTGCAAGTGGAGGAGTGGGGAATCAAACCTGGTTCTCCCAGATTAGAGTCCGCACACTTAACCACTACACCAAACTGGCATCAGAGTCATTCAGTGAGCCTGATTGGCAGTAGATTCCTGACGGTTTCCCCTCACAAGCCCCAGTGCATCAGTACATTGAATTCAGTGCCTCAAGTATCTCCTTGTCTTTAAAAAGGCGTAGACAGATTAATATAGAGGACAGGGTCGACCAGTGGCTGTTAGCCATCATTACGAGCTGTGAATACCACTTGCTGGGGCCAGATGGCAGTCAGGGAGGGCCATTGCCTTTGTGTCCCGCCCGTGAGCTTCCAGGGCCCCCTCTGGTCCTGCCCCTTTGGGAAAGCAGAATGCTGGCCCCAGCGGGCTCCGGGAGGGCTCTCCTTAGCTGCATCTCTACAAAGGGTGCCCGTGTGGTGTAGTGGTTGCTTAGAGTGGACTAGGCTCCAGGAGATCCAGGTTCGAATCCCCACCCTGCTTCCCGGGCTAGCAGCCTGACCTCTCTCGGAGGGGTTGTGAAGGTAAAACGAGAGAGACCGAATCACGTATGCCACTCTGAGCTCCTTGGAGAGAGGGTGGGGTAAAAGCATACCAAGATAAGCATCGTTATTTAGTTGCGTGCTTATTTACAGGCCATGGATGCGGCCCAGCTTGCCGATGACCTCCGGGCGCAGCTAGAGCTGGCCCAGAAAAAGCTGCATGACTTCCAGGATGAGATTGTGGAGAACAGCGTGACCAAGGAGAAGGACATGTTCAACTTCAAGCGGGCTCAGGTACCTGGCTGGCACCCTTGACTAGGGAAATCTGCCGTGGCCTCCTGTTGCACAGCCTTGAGTAGAGTGGGGCTGCTTCTTGTCCTCTGCTGAATCTTTGTCCGTGTGCTCTGCTCTGTGCACTCCGCAGCTTGCCTTCAGCTGACTCCCCGCACTGTTTTTCTCACTGGGAGGTGAAGGCTACAGGGGCCTATGTAAGAACTGTGTTTCTGGATCAAGCCAAGATGGGGAGCTGTGTTAGCCTGTCTGTAGCAGTAGAAAAAAGAGTCCACAGTAGCACCTTAATGACTAACAAAACTTGTGGCAGGGTAGGAGCTCTCATGAGTTACTGCTCACTTTTTCAGATATGAAAGCTCGTCTCCTGCCACATATTTTGTTTGTCTTGAAGGTGCTACTGGACTATTGCTCTTTTCTACTGGATCAGACCAGGGATCTGCTTTAGTTCAGGATCGCATTTCCAAAAGGGGCCAGGGTGCTGGGGAGGTCACAAACGAGGCATCATAGCCAGAACTCTTCTCTGTACCCAGCACCTGGTGCTGAGCACTGTGCTGCTGCTGGAACTTCTTATTGCTAATAACCATCAGTGGGCTAATCCACTGTGAGTTTGCCTTGTCCCTTTTAAAAGCAGCTGTGCTTCTGATCTGACAGCAGGCCAGCAGAGCTAGTGGTTTCACAGTTTTGAGGAGCAGCTGTTCTTTAGCAGGTTGAAACCCAAGAGAGTGGCACCTGGAAAACCCTTGCAGGAGCTGACCTGCTCACAATCTGGGAACCCCGGAGGTCTTTTTTTGCACCTCTCAGTGGAGCAGCTCTCCGGAGAGAGAAGATTCTGGCCCCATTGATGCATCTGCTTGCTTAACGTTTTACCCGCAGGAGGATATCTCGAGACTCCGGAGGAAGCTGGAGACCACCAAGAAACCTGACATGGTACCCAACTGCGATGAGATCCTTATGGAGGAGATCAAAGACTACAAGGTAGGCGGCTCGATCCAGAAGTCCCTTTGGGATGGTGGACTGGGCCTCGTTGTGCTCGGGGGGCGTACCTGGCAGCTACAGTCTCCATTAGGTTCCGTTGAAGGTAGTCAGCAAGGCCAGGGATAGTCTGAAATTTCCCCAGTTGGGTAAGTTGGAGTCCCTTGTATTTCTCCATTAAGATAATTTTACCCAGGGTTTTTTTCTCTCTAATGGGGGACCGAAAGCAGCTGTAACAACTCTTCTCCATTTTATCCTCGTAACAGGCATATTTGGCTTGGCTGCATATGTGCCTGGCCCGAGGTCACCCACTGAGCTTCCGTGGCAGAGTGGCACTGTGGGTCTCTCGGATCCTACTCCTGCAATCTACCCCATGTTGACTCTCCATATAGGATAACAATAGGCAGGGCTCTTTTTGTAGAAAAAGCCCAGCAGGAACTCATTAGCATAATAGGCCACACCCAACAGCAGGAACTCATTAACATATTGGGCCACACCCCTGACAGCACAGCTCATTAGCAAATTAGGCCACACCCCCATGTTGCCAGAAGTCTGGTCATCCAGCCACGCCCACCTTTTGCTTCTTATTCTGTTTACCTTGTTTGTTGTCAAAACCCAGGGCTTTTTTTTTTTTGTAGCAGGAACTCCTTTGCATGTTAGGCCACACACCCCTAATGTAGCCAATCCTAATGAGTTTCTGCTGTTGGGTGTGGCCTATTATGCAAATGCGTTCCTGCTGGGCGTGGCCAACTCAGGAGCCAGCCGGAACTCCGTTCCTGTGCGTTCCTGCCCAAAAATAGCCCTGACAATAGGACATAATCCTTATGGCGCAATAGTCTCGAAGACACCCTCTGAAACCCCTTTGTGCAAATGACTCCCTAGAGCAATTCTGTGTTCTGGCATGGGATGTTAGGTGAGAGCTCACCCTCATTAGCCATCTGGTCCCTCGGACCTGTCTTACAATGGCGTTTCTTCCACTTCGCAGGCTCGCCTGACCTGCCCCTGCTGCAACATGCGCAAGAAGGATGCTGTGCTCACCAAATGCTTCCATGTTTTCTGCTTTGAGTGTGTGAAAACCCGCTACGACACCCGACAGCGCAAGTGTCCCAAGTGCAATGCCGCTTTCGGGGCCAACGACTTTCATCGCATCTACATTGGCTGAATCTCTGGCCGAGGAGAGCCAGAGAGACGTCTCTGTTGCCAACCGCCCAGGCCCCTCTTTTACTCGCAGGCTGGAAACTGCTTCTTTTTGTGGGCTGCGTTCCCTTCTCTGTTTTTTTTAATGCAATTCTCCTTAATTAGAGAGCTAAAGGGGGTTATCTTCTGATTCTCTCCACTATTTTTCTTTCTCGGGACTGCCATTCCCAGCACAAACCTCCCTCGTTGCCTCTGCTTCTTGGGGTTGACTGTCTTTGTTTACTTGGGCTCGAATTCAACAGGCCCACGTGAATCAGCCTTACACTGGAAAATTAGTTTGAGTTGTTACAAGCCGTCTGTCTGTCTGTCTTTGTGGGTCTCTCTTAAATGTAACTTTCCATTTCGTTTTCTGAAAAACAAGAAAGCTTTTCTTTCCTGGGCAAGGTCCTTTCCCTGCCTCGTGTCCGTCTGCGCCGACAGGTGTCTTTGTTTTGAGAGGCTTGTGACAGTTTAACGGGGCCTGCGATTTCTTCCTGATCGAAATGGCTCCGCGTGACCCTTGTTACCCATTAAAGAGCTTGGTGTGCTGGGAAGACGGAACTCCATGCAGGTGAGGGATGAAGAGTGACACGGAACCAGCTCTGTGCTTCAAACCGCCCTTCTGAAAGGGAACAAAAATGGCCAGTGAAATGCTTGGCGGAGGGACTGGCGAAGAAGGGGCCTTCTCTGCGGGCTGTGCGCCTGGACATGCTGAAGGAAGAAGAGGCGCTTGGTCTGATTCACTCTTCAGTTCCCTTTTGTGGGACCCACGCATGGCATGGTGTGGGAGCAAGCCTGGGAAACAATGCACAGTGCCATTCCACGCGTGTCAGGTTTTCTGTGTAAACAGAAGCCTACATGCATCGACACCTACATAAATGGGACCCCTGTCTGCCATCTGTCTGCCCCCCCCTTTTTTACAGCAGATGGATGATGCCTACAGGGCCTCCTCATGTAGGTGCTCCTATTAGGCTTGCAGGGGCTGTGTGCACAGCGCTGGGACCGTCTCCTGTGCCCTGTTCTGCGCGGGATCCACACGGGGGGGACTGAAGTGTGATCCATGTCCTTGAGACCAGCTTTCTGTAAAGAGGCCCCTTTGGACTGCCGGACTGGCACATCCCTCAGAGGATGTTTTGGTTTCTCCTTGCTCTCCTAGGGGGGAAAAAAAGGCATTTTATTTTTTGTTCTTTTGCTATGAGAGTGATTGATTGGAAGTGCACCTGTTTCAATAAAATCCGTGTCATTCTATAAACTCTTTGGGGACTCTTGTTTATACTGCTTGTGCTTTGTGCCGTTTCTGTATTCTTTACATACCAAGACCTCAAGCTCACACTTGGGGGGCGATGAAACCTTCCTAGGAGTGTCTCATGAAAGTCAGAGCAGCTCAAGAAGTTTGCAGCGGAGTGCCTTTAAAGGTTTTCTGTCAGGCCCCATTGCCCTCCTCTTTTTTCCAAACTCCCATCAGGGGCCATCTACTTTGCAAAAAAGGTAAGGGTGACAGTATGGGGTTAAACAGCAACTGGGACTGTGAGGGGGGACTGAGAAGGAACTTTTTAACATGGCCAGCCCTAGATCCTTCCATTGCTGCTCTCAAGAAGGACCCATCTTCTGGCCTCTGCTACATCTGGCAGCTGGATATCGATCCGGCAACCTCTTTCCAAGAGGGGATGGCATTTTTCTCCCATGGCCTCAGGAGAGCAGCAAGTGACAGTAGCAGCCGTGTTCTGGGGCAAGAGGGATTGTGTCAGCGTCTGTCCTTGATGTGTTCTGCGCACCCTGTCTCAGGAGCAATCTGTCTGACTCTGAAAGTGGAGTCAACAGGTTTTAAAGAAAGCACAGCCATGCCTTTGGAACCCCAGAGGTCTCTGGGAAATGGCCTTTTCCGACATGCTCCTGCTGTTCCCTTCTCAGCTCCGCTAAGTCACATTTCAGCGGAAAGCTATCGCTAAGGCCTAGCATGTGTCCAGTGGCATTTGGCTGCTAAGCTGTTTCAACATAAAGCATCGGGAGGCGAAACGCAGCTTCTGTCGGTGAGACGGTGGGGTAGCCCTTCCCCGCATGCCATGTCAACCTTTGCACAGGGTTATCGATTCCATTGCAGGCTTTTATTGCCAACTCTGTGCCTTCCTGTAAGCTTTCTGGACATTTTTTTTTTAAAACATGGAGAGGCAAAGGAGTCACTACCCCTTTGTGGAATACTGGTGCATGCTAGTTACATAAAGGACTCGAAGCCCTACAGGAGGTAATGACTCCTTTCTTGAGCCGGTGCATGTGGCTTAGAGATAAAATTAGGCATCTGTTTCCAACTGGGCAGGGTGTGCCAGTGCAGACGGACTGTTTAGATGCAAGACATGCTGTGTCGGTGAGATATTATGGGGTGGGGGTTGGGGGGAGGATAGCTTTGTAGGGGAACGGTGTAGCCTTTTAGCTGCTCATGTCAGTAGTAACTACATTCACACTGCCCTTTCAAGACTGTAAACTCCTTGGGGAAGGCCTGCCTTTGGGGAGGGGAAATGCATTAGAAAGTGCTTTTATGCACAGATAGGGCTGTAAACTGATAATTCCTGCCCCTGAATTAATACAGTAAGAAAAGAATGAAGATGGTGGGGGGAATTCATAGTATTGTGATCTGAGTCATGTGTGTGATCCAGGTTTATGACAATAATAGCCCAAGCTGCAGTACATAATTCCAGTGTTCATATTGACTTAAGAATTCAGCATGTGCTTAACAGTAGAATGGCTTCAGTGGCTGCCCTGTAAAATCCCTCCTGTTCAAAACAGCGAGGCATAAGTGCTTCACGTCAACTGGATTTTGTCCTCAGCACTTACAGAGAGCTTCCCCCAATAGTTCAGTAAAACTGTTTTATAGTTGTCCATTCAGCAACTCTGTGAGGTAGGCAGTTATCCCACTAGCGCAGATGAAGAAGCTACATTTGAGCCAGGGGAATCCTAATTCAACAGCACCTCTTTAAAAAGTCATGCTCCTTTCGTACTAGTGACTGAGTTTGTAGAGAAGTTGTAAATGCTGTACACAGAATTGTCCCCCCCAATGTCCCCCCCCCCCCCCCGGCAGATGTTTAATCCATGGGAATAGCCTTGCTGGATCAAACCAGGATTCCATTTAGTCCTGCAATCTGTTTCTAACCTAGGAAGCTCATACCTTTTAATTGTACCTTTTAATTAAATTTGAGTTAATATATTTTGATGCTTTGCTTTGATTTTGTTTTGCAACCAGCCTTGGGAAGGCACCCAGAGAGACAGCATTAAAAAAAAACCTAAATAAATAAATAAATGGGGCATGAAAGGCAGTAGTCATCCTCATCTTCCCAGTAATCAGAAATGTGGGGCGTGGGGCGACAGAATAGACAGCAGATCATGGAGGATCATGGTATAGAATGTTATCCTGTCTTACAAGTAGAAAAGCAGCTTAGCAAACAGATAGGAGGGCCAGAGTTCTCCCTGCAGGGCAAGTTTTCTATTTGCTCGGAGTTTTTTATGCAAAGGAACATTTACAACTGCACTTCTTCATTTCCATTTTGAATCTCTGCAGCCTATTCTACCACTCCATTCTCACTCCATTCTCTTGCATGTCTGAACCAGAACCTTAGGAAGATATTGCTTGTTATGTGCCCTCTGTATGGTTTAGCTGTCATGACTAATTAATGGAGGGTTAACCCCCTGTAACTAACACCCAGGGGCTGGTCTCTGTGCAGGTAGGTAAGTCTCACACATGGGGACCAGCTACAGCTATGATTCAGTCTGTAAATCCCTTGAGACTTCCCAGTTTTACAGGAAAAGGTTCCTTTAAATGATCTTCATTTTGGGGTACCACTTCCCCCAAGCCAATAATTTGTGCTCATGTGCAAACTACTACTTCTTCTTTTCTTTTTTCTTTTAAAGAGTTCAGGAGTATTTTGAGTGCTGCAGTAACTCAAAATGGTATGTGAACATGAAGCAGGGTGAGAGAAGGAGAACCTGTGGTGGCAGGAACTGCAGGGAAATTGTATTTCTTTTCCCTGGCAAATGCTCATGAGCCTCCTCTTGTCCTATTTGAAAACTCAGTACCAGTGTTCCCTCTAAGCTCAGTTAGTATGAGCTAGCTCACAGTTTTTTAGCCTCTGGCTCACACATTTTTGTCTTAGCTCAGGAAGGATGCCCCCAAAGCAAACTTGCTTATGCAGTAGCCAAATTACTTGCTCACAGCTTTAATACCAGTAGCTCACAAAGTGGAATTTTTTGCTCACAGGACTCCACAGCGTAGAGGGAGCATTGCTCAGTACACTGATGCCCATCTGCGCATGTTGTGATAATTAATTTCACATTAGATTCTTTGGATGGTCCTGCACCTATAATCTATCACGGCTGCAATTAACCGTACAGTAAATATTTAACTCTTACAGATTTCGGCACTTAAACGTCCTTTGGATTGGGTCCTTGGAATGAAAATATCCTACGTATCATGGAGCTTTTGCGTAGGAAGCTTCCAAGTCAAATGATCCTTTATGTCTGATAAAAGCTTACACTTGCCAATAGCAATCCTATATAACAGACAAAGAAGGTTGTGATATCAGGGTTGGGTATTCCTTTTGCCAGGGGGAAAAAAATTAAAGGATTTTACCTCAGCAGAATGTGTTTCCTCTCATAATTGTGACACCAATACTGGTCAACAAACCCAAACCATTGTGCAAATCAACCAGCCTAAAAATAGTATTAAAATTTATTTAAAACCAAAAACATACAACTATGACCCCCCCCTCCCCCAAACCAGAGTTTTCATCCAGAAAAAGAAGATGGCCGGGGAACTCCTGGAAGTCAAGGAAAGACTTCATTATTAATTTTACACCAAAGATGTTAAACGTATTTTAGTGCTGACTTTTGGTTGGGTACTTGAAAAAAATGCTACTTATATATTTGAGAGAGGGAACGAGGTGGTTTTGAGTGGCTTTAGGCACTGTCTGTCATACACATTTGTGTTCATAAGATGTCTGGTTATATGGTGGGATCGGAGATATAGACAAAGATTTGGTGGTAGGTTCCATCTCTGTATAGCCACATTCAGGTTTTTACTGAAGCATTAGGAATACTCCCTGAAAGATATGCCCACACTCATCAACTACTGTTTCCTCTTATGGATTCCCAGCTGACAGAAGATCTTGAACCTAAACCTGTTGCCAGGTCATACAAGTCTAGGTTCAATTTACACATGGCTTCTGATGGTGCAAGAGCTAGCTCTTCTGGAGTCATGTCTGTGCCACTCTGCTTAAGATGTCTTAACAATGGATGGTTTGGTTATATGCCGTGCTGGTTACCACCAACTGGGCATCTCAAACTTGGTACATAATCCACTTTTAGCTCTGAGATGGACAATGTGCAGGTTGACCAAGCTGCGGGGGCAACCACAGAGTGGAGGGATCACACAGCTCCAAGAAAACGGCCCTACCAGCAACGCATGTTAGGGTGGGATGGAGTGGGGTGGGGGGGATGATTTGTCAGGTGTTTGTATACCATATATTGTTTAACCCACTGCTTGCATGGCACCTGCATAAAGAACAGACATTTACAACTGGATAGCAAGCCACCACTGGCAAGTCACACAACACATTTCACTGAAGGATACCACTGCGCTCCAAAAACATTAAGCCATAGGGGTGGCTTGGGGGTGACCAAGGGGCCTGCAGTTCCCCACCACCAGCCTATCAGGTCCCTTGAGTGTGATTGGGAAATGTAGGCCAAAAAAGATTGAGAGAGAGAGACTGGGAACTGGCAACACCATCAAGACCCTGCAACAGATTAAAACCATCTGTAGTTTTCCAAAAGAACAGAATGCTTTGTTGCTTATTTCTGTTGGGAGCACAGGGCCTGCTAAAGGTAGCCAGGAGATTATTTGCAAATGGAAAGAACCTTAGAGGGCCCTGCTCCCGCCTTGGCAGCTAATTCTGACTAGGTAAATGGGGAGAGAGTAGGGTTGCTAGTCAGTGTCTGGAGAGTTGTGAGGGGGAAGCATCCTGATAGAAAAATTAAAAAGAAAAATAAGATCCCTTCTACTCGCAGGAAGTTCTGACCATAGAGCTTCTGGTGATTCCAAGAGCTACCCAGAGGTGACAAGTGTAGCTCCGGGAATCTCCCGAAACTCTTAAGGTAATGTAACATAAAGAGTTTCTGGTAATTCCCAGAGCTACCCTTGTCACTTTTGGGGTGCTCTAGGAATCTCCAGGCACTATATGGTCAGCTTCCTGTAAGTAGACGAGGTCTTCTTTTTAATTTTTCTCCCCAAGACGATTATGTCCACCGCATTTGGCCCCCGTTTCCTCCCTCTAATCAAGTGTGCACAGGTGGGCAAGGGCTGCCATTAACTGGAGGTTTCCCGCCATAAGTAGACAAATGGGAGAACATAATTTTCAAAGGAATATATATTGCATTTGGCCATTGGTTTACCTATTATGCCAAATGATGGGGTGCTGAAATCTGGACTGTACAGTTTCACCTTCCAAATGAAAGGGGGTTATATTTGAACACTCCGTCTTGCATGTATTCAACTACATTCTGTGCAGGTAGAAAGCAACGCCAGAGGGAGAAGTGTAGCGTCATCTTCTCCCTGATGGGCTAGTTGACTACATCCAGGAAGATTTTATACAGGAGCATTTGAAAATATCTAAGAGTCCAGAATTCTATACCCTCTGGCTTCCCTCTCGTCCTGTGTAGTGAGTGGATCATTGTTTGCGGTCATAGAAACTTTTATCCTTTTGGTCTGGCTCTTCCAGGGCACTGTCTCTCCCAGTGACCAGACTGGTGAAAGAGAAAATAACTGAGAATAAGAACACAAACAGGGCCTTGGGATCTGCCATCTGGGAGGCGACCCCAGCCGGGCCATAACAAATCCAGCTCTCAAAATCCACACAAAGCATCACCAGGACACACAATTTGGAACCATCATTTTAAAGTCTCTCTCGCTCTTTTCTTAAAATCAATGCACAGAAAGGGCTAAAAACTTGAAATTCCATTTGAGTGTGGTGAGGAGAAAAACGGGAGGCCGTGTGGCGTGGAGGCTCTCTGTTTCCCCGTAGGCCGAGGTCATGGAGAGGCTGCCTTCCCATGGAGATGGAGCTAGCCAGGAGCTCAGAGCCCCGCCCGCTGCCTTTGCAGGAAGGCGCTGGCGACGAAGAAAAATATTGCTTGCTGATTTCTGCAGCCACTTTCTGGCATTACCCACCCCCCAAAAAAGGTGTGTTTTTGAATGTTACAGGAAAGGGGCCAGGTGGGCCCCCTTAGGACTCGGCGGTCCTGTTTGTCCTCTGAAACTCTTCCAGCTCCAGTTTTCTGCTCATGGCCAGCTGCAGTTCCTGTTTGATCACTTGAATCTGTTTCTCCAGCTCAGAGAGTTCTTTCATCACTGAGGTCCTTGCCATGTTAAGGGATTCTGCTTTCCCATTGGTGGTCAAGGAAGCTGGGGCCTCTCTCTTCAGTGGGGGGAGGGAGATGTCCTGCGGCTGCTGCTGCTGCTGCTTTAGGATCACTTCAGTCTGCTGCTCCTCACTGCAGATGTATTTCTTCCGATGGCAGTTGCCTGGATTGGCCGTGTTCCACACCGAATGCTGGCTGTTCCCCGCATTGGACCTGCACAAGGGATTCACACCCAGAGTTAGGAGACAGCCATCTGTTCGCACTTATGTTTTGCCAGGAATAAAGAAGTAGAAGGAAAAACCTCTCCCTGGTTTTGTAGCCAAGGCTGCCAATAAGGGGGGGGGGGGACACACACTAATGGTGCAAAATTTCATCCATTTGGGTAGGGTTGCCTGGTCCTACCTTTTTTGCCTTCGAAACCATAGAGTTTGCCCAAAACCTAGAGTGTCACCCCCAACGACCCTGACACGATGATGTCACTTCCGGGTGACAACATTGCATCTGGGATGTCACCTGGCAACATCCCTGTTTGTGGGTGGGGCTTCCCCAGATCAGAGCCCCCCAAAGCAGGGGAACCCTCGCTGGGAATTGGAGGCTGGCAACCTTACATCTGGGTTATCCTGAGGACCTGGGATGCCAACTCCCAGGCAGCAGAGGGAGACGGATTCAGTGCAGAGCATCAGTTTTGCATGCACAAGATCCCAGGTTCAGTCCCTGGCATCTCCAGTTAGGCATTGTGTCAGGGTGAGCTCTAGGTTCACCCAAAACTCAATGGTTAAACTGGGGAAATGTCAGGGTTCTGTGAATACCTTAAGCCTCTCTTTTCTGAAACTAAAACAAACAAAAAAAGAGATCTTTCAGCTCCTTGAAGCAGCAGATTGATTGCATCTGTTTTTGTGGATTAGTCCACACCTAGCCGTGCTGCAAGATGTAAAACCAATACACCCTAATGACGGCAAAACAAAACTCGGGATTTCTTCATACATGAAGAATGATGCCTTACCTTTGGAAAAGAAGTTTAGAGACCAACACCTTTACTTTTGCAGCCCTTGGTCTCGAGTCTCGACTACTGAACTGTATTCGATGCAGGGCTTTTTTTTGTAGAATAAGCCCAGCAGGAACTCATTAGCATAATAGGCCACACCCAACAACAGAAACTCATTAGCATATCCAGCCACGCCCATGAGAGCATAGCTCATTAGCATATTAGACCACACCCCATGTTACCAGAAGTGTGGTCATCCAGCCATCTTTTGCTTCTTATTCTCTGTACCTTGTTTGTTGTCAAAACCCAGGGCTTTTTTTGTAGCAGGAACTCCTTTGCATGTTAGGGCACACACCCCTAATGTAGCCAATTCTAATGAGTTTCTGCTGTTGGGTGTGGCCTATTATGCTAATGAGTTCCTGCTGGGCGTGGTCAACTTGGGAGCCAGATGGAACTCCGTTCCTGTGCGTTCCTGCCCAAAAATAGCCATGACTCTATGTAGGGCTACCCTTGAAGAACATTTGGAACCTTCAGGTGGTCCGTGGCTCATGTCTTGATGGGCTGTGTTCATCTAAGCTCCAGTCCTGTGCAATCTGCAGTGTTAATGTCTAATAATGCCTCCCCCCTTGGGGTTAACACAACGCAATTTTTGCTGACTAGTCCTCACACAGTATCACTAATTTTAGGTCATGGCCTTGAAGGCACATGAGTTAGCAACCTAGCTAAAGCTGCAGAAGTTTTGATCTGGTCAGTGCCTCAATGGGTGTCCACATGGAGACCCTCGATCTGCAACTGTAACCTTACTTGAGGAAAGGGGGGGGATAAAAGTGTTCTCAAAAATGAATACTGATGGCCATGTCACCACTCTTCAGTCTGAAACCTGTTGAGCATTATAGTAAATCAGGGCTATTTTTGGGCAGGAATCAACAGCAGGAACTCATTAGGATTGGCTACATTAGGGGTGTGTGGCCTAACATGCAAATAGGGCTGCCAACTCCCCCGGTAGGGCGGAAATCCCCCGCCCCAGAGGTCCCGTTCCCCGACGCCGGGGAATCGGGGCCCGGGGGAACCCTGCCCCGGCGTGCGCGTCACCGGAAGTGACGTCGCACGCTGGGGGCGGGGCGACGCCATTTGAGGGGAAAACAAAGAGTTTTCCCATCAAATGGCGTGGCCCCGCCCAGCGTATGTCGTCACTTCCGGTGATGCTCTGGCAGCGCGCGCGCGCATACACAGAAGGCTCCCGGACCGGCAGGACGCTCCCCCGCCGGTACGTTTTTAACATTTGGCAACCCTACATGCAAAGGAGTTCCTGCTCCAAAAAAAGCCCTGGGTTTTGACAACAAACAAAGTAAACAGAATAAAAAGCAAAAGATGGGTGTGGCTGGATGACCACACTTCTGATAACATGGGGGTGTGGCCTAATATGATAATCAGGTGTGTGGCCTAATATGCTACTGAGTTCCTGCTGTTGGGTGTGGCCTATTATGCTAATGAGTTCCTGCTGGGCTTTTTCTACAAAAAGAGCCCTAAATTACTAGGATCTTACAAGCTGCTAGTGAACAATTCTGTTGCCAAGGAGTCTTTGCTTCTGCTGTAGGCATATATGAAACCTTGGGCCCCTCAGTCTAAAAAGAATGCACAACTGGCAAGCACACAACAACACAATACTCTATAGAATTCACCTGTTTTTGTACATTGCTATGTCTTTATACATTCTTTGACCCAGCCGTGCTTTGTATAGCTGCTGATCAGAATAAGTTAGAACCACCTTCGTCCATGGAGTGGCTTCACAGAACCGGGAAAACTGTGTTATTAACAAGATTACCTTATTACATGAGATCTAAGCCAACTGGTTTATAGGTCTATGTTTATTGCGTCCTGGAATTTCACCTAAATTATGAGATAGGACTCAGACTTGTGTGTCTTTTGATTTGATATAATCTTATGGGATGTGTGGTATCTCTTCTTCTATATTGTTATATAGAACACTTTTTTTAAAAAAAGGAATGGAAAATCCTGATGCACTTAAAACTGTCAGAAGGCACAGTGCTGGTACATTATTAAAAAGAGACTTCGGGGAAACGTATAACTGAAGGAAGTATCAGTCTATTGTCCCCCAGGGAAATACACTAATAATATAGTAGAAGTTACTTCCAGCGTTCCTCAATGTCTTACCGTTTTCCGTACAGCAACCATCTAAAGGAATAAAGGAGTGTTATCACGTAATGGACTGGGTTGAGGGGAGCTGTCTGCCTCCGTTAATTCCTTGTACGCCTGGGGTCTGCTACTGCAACGTGGCCCCATGGACATTATAGATGCGTCCACAATGGAAACACAACGGATTTGAACAGGCTTGTTGCCAGAAGGGTTCCAATTAGAAATGGCAAACATTAAGGAGGTATTTTTATGACTATTTTCTACCCTTCTGTAGTCTCCTTGGCTGCTGTGTTTCAAGTAGCATATTTCTTTGTACTCCAAAAGCAACTGGAAAGTTATGTTGGCCTCAGGATCTAGTTCTGTCAGATTTTGAAAACACACCCTTCAGTTCAGCTAGGTTCATTATGGGGGCATGAAAGAGGCAGAACCATGGAAAGACACAGGCAGATAACTATTATTATTAATCACAGTGGGAATGGTATCGAAGAACTAAGAAGAGCTGTCAGATTTGATGGGATGTTGCAGTGCCTGTTCGTATACGTAAGCTTCTTGGAGAACCACTCCAGAATGCTGTAAATAGCATTGTTATTTTAAAAATTCAGTGGCACGGAGGCTGAAGTTGTTATGATCGGGGACCCTGAAACCATGGCAATTGTTGATTTTCATGTGAGGAGTTGAAAGGCCAGGGAGAGTCAGGAAAAACAGGAATTGGATTTCAACGGGAAAAAGGCCCATTTGGTCAACATGCTAAACGGTGGAGATGAATGCTGGTCATAACCCCCCTCAAAACCTGGAACAAGGACTACATGCCAAAAGCTTGGAGTTAGTGTTGCCAGGTCCCTTTGATTCACTGGCAGGGGGATGGGGGGACACTCTGGGAGCTGGAAGCGTCACCCCCCTGGAAGTGACATTGCTTGCAGTGACATTGCTTACATGCTTACATCACTTCTGGGTGATGTAGGCATGTCGGGGGGGGCAACACTCTGGTTTTTGGGCAAAACTCTATGGTAAAATCAACTTCAAACCATACAATTTTGCCCAAAAACTAGAGCATCTACCCCCCAAGGTCACCGATGTGTCTACGTCACTTCCGGGTGACGTAGGCACGTCGCTCCATGTGCTCTTCGGGAGGGAGGGATTGCCTCCCACTGGCCACCTGGCAGGCAGCGGGGAAGAGCCCACAAAAGCGGGGGATCCCCTGTTGCCAACTGTGGACTGGCAACCCTACCTGGAATGTATCTCATGAGGGGCAGGATTCAAAACGTTGGATGGGGGGGGGAGGTTTTCACCTAAGCAGAGAGAAAGGTTAAAAGGTGGAATCTTCCTTTGTTGTTGTTTTTTTGCATACTGTGGCTGGATACTGTGATCTGTGTAGGTACCCAGACTCCTCTGGAAAGGGGCACCAGGTAAGTTTGGGGTGTGTTTGCTCCATCTAAGGTAACTGTCTTGTATTGTAACCTGATAAGTAACCATTAGGTTTTTCTGCTTTCATGCTGTTTTTCTGCGCCGTAGCTCCATTTCTACCCTATATGGATGTGTATTTTCCGATCTATATTTAATCTGATCTCCTATTGTATGTGTATACGTATGCCAATAAAGGCTTGTCAAAGTAAGTAACCTTGCTAGATTTATGATTCATTTTTCTTTTCCTTAGATCTGTATCTACCAGGCCTGACTGCTGTTTTCCATGTATGTTCTCTCATTTCATCTTTAATAATAAAGCCTTTTTCTTTCCCATTTAAGAAAGCAGACTGTGACTCAGCTCACACCTAACATGCAAAGAAATTCCTGCTACAAAAAAAGCCCAGGGTTTTGACAACAAAGTAAACAGAATAAGAAGCAAAAGGTGGGTGTGGCTGGATGACCACACTTCTGGCAACATGTGGGGTGTGGCCTAATATGCTAATGCGCTGTGCTGTCAGGGGGGTGGCCTAATATGCTAATAGGTTTCTGCTGTTGGGTGTGGCCTATTATGCTAATGAGTTCCTGCTGGGCTTTTTCTACAAAAAAAGCCCTGGTCCACGGTATCTGTAAAACTCTCCTCTAACACCATATTTCAAAGGAATCAACTTTCTTCCTGTAAGCTTTCTTCATTGTCCATTTTTTACATCCATACATAGTAATGGGGAATACTACGGAATAAATTAACTTGATCTTGGTCTCCAGGGACACATCCTTACCCTTCATGATCTTTTCTAGCTCCTTCATGGCTGCCCTACCTAATTTACGTACTGTGTACTATTTAATCAGAGGGTTCAAGGTGGTTTTATTGTACATACTTGTAACCTGTAGGTTATACTTTTGCTTTGTCTTACTAAAAATATTACATAGCTTTCAGTTTTTCTTTGGACCAATAGGGCTACCTCCAACTTCCACTTCACTGTGAGTTTGGGTTTGTAAAATAGCTTCTTGGCTCTGCTGAGCAGAAGCACACACTTGACAACAGAGATTGCCTGTTGTCTGTCATATCAATGGCGGGATCCGACAGGGGAATGATGTGTCAAAAGCTGATGTGCCTGGTGTTGCTGTTACATTGCAGACGCACAACTGTTCTTTATGATTTACGACTTGGCCAGCACAATAGTAAACACTTTTGTTTGTTTGCCTCGTATAATGCTATCTTTCCTATTGTCTGCCTCTTCCTTTTAATAAAAGAAGTGTTTTTGTCTGGGGAACTAATATCAGAGATTCTTCTGTAAACAGATTTTGAAAAAGTGATTGTTCTTACCTCTTTTCAACTCGCTTTGCTTTAGGCTGGTGTTTGTCTTCAACGAATGAACTATTCAGAGCTCGGTGCAATCTCTGGAGGAAAGAAGGGGGAAGTACATTCATCAGTATAAAAACTACCCTTGAATTCTGGGGGATTAACACAATCCAGGTTTTCTGTGTATTTTCATCGCACTTTTTGCACTGATGTGTTACTGGGTTTAGTATCATGGTGAGTGTCCACCAGTGCTCAGCTGCATTATGTGGGGAGGGCTGAGAGCTCACTGGCACTGTGTCTCTAATACAGTTCCCGGCATTTCCCATCAAAAATGGATCCAGCAGGGAAGCGGAGGAAGTCTGACTGCTGCAGGTCCCAACAGACCATGTTAAGTTAGGTGGGCCACTGAGATTGGCCGAATCTGCATCTAGCATTTGCTCTGCTGTCTTACCAAACCCACACTGGAACAGAAATTCCCATCTACCGGTACATTGCATGCCACTCTCACTTTGATTGGTTGTCAAAGTGATTGTCAGACTGCAGCTGCTTTCACTTCATTTGAGCTCTGGTTTTATGGTGGCTGTCTGCATAGATCTATGAGCATTTTATGGCCATTCAGGGTAGACTTTGCAGTCAGGACGGCATTAACCTGGGGTATTTTAATGCGATTTTGAGCCGCATCTTTTTCTGTCCCAGCCTGGGTTTGGTACAACAACGGAGCAAATTACTAGATGCAGATTGGGCCTTAGTATAAGGCCGCTTCATATTGTCTGAGCCACAATGCAATGGATTTAGGGTTACCAACCTCCAGGTGGAGCCTGGCATTCTCTGGGCATTACTACCGATCTCCAGACTACAGAGGCCAATTCCCCTGGTGAAGATGGCAGCTTAAAATTTAACCATTTCATCTTTCTATTGTTTACCCCATTCCCATTCCTCCTCTCCCTCTTGTGGCTTCCCGCAATGCTTCCCCCCCGCTCTACATTACATTACATCATCAATTTTATCATTTTCTTATCATTACCATCTCAAGATAACATCATTTGACATCAAATGCTGCTGGCCTTCCTTATGCACAACCACTGAACCTCCAGGAATTTTCCAAGCTGGAGTTGGCCTAGGTGAGTTTTCTTAACCACAAGTGCATGTCAGTTGCATTTGCTGCCAGGAAGAGGGAATCTCTCTACATCATGCTCCTGACAAGGGTAAGTAGGGAATTCAGGGGATGCCAGTCTTAACAGTGAACAACTCCATCTTTCCAAAGCGATATAGGCACAGTTGTGTGATTCAAATAGATGCGCCGGGCTCTTTTTGTAGCAGGAGCTCCTTTGCATATTAGGCGACACACCCCTAATGTAGCCAATCCTCCAAGAGTTTACAGAGCTCTTATTACAGGGGCTACTGTAAGCTCTTGGAGGATTGGCTACATTAGGGGCGTGTCGCCTAATATGCAGAGGAGTTCCCGCTACAAAAAGAGCCCTGCGGGAGGTCGGACAGACTCTTTAGTACAATGCACACCAGGAACTGTGAGCATTCTGTGAACATAACAAATTATTCCTGTTTACTGAGGTACAGAAGGACTTGGGTATTTATCCTCAGTTTTTAACGCGGGAGCCAGATGTGCCAGAGAGCAGAGTCCCACAAACTGCCCTCTGCTACCTTGAAAGAGATGCTACAGTAATTATTTGAAGAAAGCCGTGTGAGGTCTATTTTTGGATAAGCCAAGGGGCTTAATTAATATACATTTACACACTTGAAAACCTCCAGATCTTAGGCGCTGGATGAATAAGAACCCCGTTTCCCGCTGTCTCTTTGTCTATGTGCTTAATAATTGCAAGGACTTCTTTTCAAATGGACCCTGAAAGGGTAAAAACCACTAGCACGAGGGGAAAGGCTGACTTCCCATCAGTGTGCATCGCTGTTATCAATCCCCTGAGCCACCCAGGCCCCTTGAGAGGGTTCCTTTATCTGAGAGCTGCTCTGCCCCCAGCCCATTCTTCACAATAACTAAAAGCCTTTGTTAACAAGAACAACAGCCAACAAGGCCACTGATTATACTTGATCCACACTGCTCCATGCTTAGAGCAACATGGGATACTCTCCCTCCACACGCTGTTCCTTAAGATCCCAGTAATAAAATCTAGGATAAGTACTCTTTGAAACGATTTCACCAGTACTTAGAAAAGTGCATATGATCATGATGATGGTTCTGTATCTACAGAGGGATTGTATATTGCATGGATCCTTAGGTGATACTGTGTCCCTGCTGATGGAGGCTCAGCGACCTGCATCTGGAGAAGCAAGTAACTTGACTCTGCTTCCAAGTTATTCCAAAGTGCAATACTTCGTTTTCCCATGTAAAATGAATAGCAGCTTCTTACTTATATTAGAGAAAGGAACAGGGTGAATCCGGGGCTCCTGCCATGCAGGTTAACCCACTTCTCGGCCCCAGTGACAGAAGTTTACCCTACTAACGGTGATCCAGACTGTAGGCCATTTACTCTGTCCTGTAGAATTTTGCCAGGGCTATATGGAACTCATTGTGATTGCCTGTCTAACTCCACTCCTTCGTTTGCATAGCCCTGCCACCAGAGGTCATTTCGGGGGGAACTGTGTTTCCCCGGATGAGGTGCAGGGGGCGGGGCACATGACGAAGCCCCGCCCCCTGCTTCCAGCTGCCCTGCTTCCAGCCCTCATTCAGCCAGGAGGAGGCAGGAGAAGAGGGAGGGTAAGTTGCTTCCTCCCCGCCTCTCCCCACCCCTGCCTGCCTGGGGCCAGGGAGGGCCTTGGCGGGGCTTCCTCGCACTCCCGCTGGCCTTGCAGGTCCACCGCCGGGCCCCTGATGTCAGGGGGTGTGGCATATGCTAATGAGTTATGCTAATGAGTCCCCCTAGCTCTTTTTCTATGAAATGACCCCTGCCTGCCACTGATTCTGTTTCTCGGTCTCACTAGGAGACTGGCTTTTAAATTCCCATATACTCAGACCATCCATTTCAGTTTGTTTTGGGGGGCAGTTCAATCCATTTTGGGGGGAGGAGCCATTCCATTGTGAGGTTGTTCTGTGGTGCCAGAATACATACCTGACTTGTGTGGAGCCAATATCTCATTCTGGATTTCTTCTTAACTCGTGGGATCACCAGTCTGTATACTATGTGTTCCCCAATGGTAGTGAGAATCGATAAACCAAACCCAATGCATAACATCACAAACAGTCCTGAAAAGTGCTTGATTCCCATCTGCAGGGTCTGTTAGGAAAACAGAGAACATCGACACATTAATGGTACCAGGAAACCTAGAATACATAGGTAGCTCGATGGATTTTTAATTCTCACTACCATTTCATCTGATCTTGCTTTTGTCTGTTAACCAGATAGACCTTAATCTTTCAAAAACTCAGGATCCACTTGCAGCACCAACCATTTAAAATGCTTTTTAAAATTATGTAGTTAATTGTATGTATAAATAGACTTTCAAGTAAAAGTTCTCAAAAGAGTTTACTATACAATATGATGAAAGAAAATCAATACATGGCTAATAAGGTACAGTGAAGTCAGTTAAAAATAGTAAGAGACAATAAAAGTCAATACAAAATCAATAAAATACAAATACATGAAATGCAGAATTCCAGTGAGTCCACACAACATCTTATTGAGCCATCTCAAAGGCTCTGTGGTCCAGTTTGTTAGAGCAACGTAAGTCCAACATCTCATTTTCTCTTTCCTCCGAGTCTATTTCGCCTCTGCTCCATTTTTCTTCTTAGGTTTTCTCTTTCTCTTAAAAAAAACCCTATCAAAATGGCAGCAGCATCCATACCATTGGCACAACTTGCCTTATGTCTGGGCATAAGTCAACATTGGACCACAGTCCATCACCTGAACACAAACATTGTAGACCAGACTGACAAGGTCTCTTTTCCCTCATCTTTAACCACTCCCCCTTGAAAGTACGGTACCTTTACTTCTGGTGCAACCCATTTCAGACACATGCAAAATCTAGTAGTGTGTCATGAGGATCCACCCGTTGAGTGTCTATGTGATAGACCAGCAGTCTTAAATCTTTGCAGCCCTGTGTCCTAAGTGGCAAAGCTGAAAACACATGATAGAAAGAGAGGGAAGCCAGTGTTATGACCTCAGTGGTGTCAAGGCCAGGGCAGTGGACAGCAGACCGAGAAAGGTGGGGACAGCAAATACGAGCTGAGCACCGGAAAAGGAACAAGCCAATGGTTGCTCTTATGGGGAAATCCTCTTTGCCATTGAATGACCTTGCCTCACCATCCTGCCACTCCTCTCAGCTTGCATGCAAAGAAGTGCAGGAGGTGTGGTGTCTGGGGCTCCTGCTTTCTACTCTTGCGTTGTAGCAACAGGTCCTTCCAAAAAGCAAAGACAGAAAAAAGGGCTCTACAGGGGCTAACAGTCCAGCAGGTGATGTTCTGTTACCTAATACAGGGGCTGAAGACTACTGTATTAGAATACTTTAATAGATGTGGTTTCGTTCCTCCTTTCTCCTCCTTTTTTATAAACTTCATTTAAAAAAAGAAAAGATTGGAGTCCCACAGCCTCTGACGCAGTCCAGTTTAGGTCAATGTATGATCACAACCCACCTGCTGAAAAGTCAATGAAGACAAAGAAAAACCAGTCTAGAAGCAATCTAGAATCCCTTTGAATCCCCATTTTTATATTTACAGTTCACCTTACTTGCCGGGACTCAAGGCAATCTTCTCTGACCTATCTACTGTACAGCTAGAGTAGCGTCGTAATTTGGGACCACACTAGGTCTGCCAAGCCCCCAAGAAAAGAAACAACAAAAAAATGGCTATTGGCCTGATGGCATGATATCACTATCATTGGTGCCATCTTGATGTTACTTCCAGGGAAAACCTAGAAGTGATGGCAGTCCTCTCTAGGACTTGCTGGAAACTCTGTGCTTTACCATAGAGGTTCTGGTGATTCATAGAGAGGTGTGACATCACTTCCTGGTTCCCCCTGGAAGTAACATCAAGATGGCACCAATGACACTGACCCACTTCCTAGTGGTTGCTAGGCCATGCCTGGCAACCCTATATCTGGCCCTGGCCCTGTGGCTCATGCTAAGTCCATAGTTGCCAGGGCATGCAACTTTCTTTTACTTGTCTGTTCTTGTCATTTAGATATCACTCTTGCATGATAATGTGAAAAAGACAGGGTTTTACAGAGCAGGAGATAGGGCTGTCAGCCTCCAGGTGGGGCCGGGAGTTTTCCGACACCCGTTGGAACAGGTGTTTTTCCGATATCTCGCACTTTGTATCCGCGGTTTTGGTATCTGGACAGCAATCCGCTGTGACCGCGTTACCCCCCCTTTTGTGTTTCCGATTTAAGTTATGCGCATGTGCAAACAGGCGCTAGCTTTTATTTTGGTCTTTTTAGTTTGTATGTACGCCCAAGCGCATGTGCACGTTTTTTTTAAAAAAAAACCGTGCCGCCGTGGGGACGGTGCGCTGTGTGATCAGTACTTCGCGTGAGTGAAGCAGAAGACAGAGGGACGGTCTGACCACCTCCAAGCGATATAAAATGTCGTGGATAGAAGAACAGCGGGAAAACTAGCGCGGTAAGAGGTTCGTGTGACCGCGGCCTATGTGGCATCATGTCCCTGTGGAGCTCCCCCCTCTCTCCAAACTCCCCTCCCCCAGGCTCTGCCCCCAAATCCCCAGGAATTTCCCAACGTGGAATTGGCAACCCTAGTAGGAAGGTTGGGTGCTAGGTAGATGTTTCCATTACACCATGCCAAGTGTCCTTCTTTGTTGACAGAGGAGATGCCAACACAGCATGAGCAAATGAGAAGAGAAATATGTTGCGACTGCTCCTCATTAAAGCCTATGTTTGGAGATCAGTTTCAGAGATGCATTTAATGAGGGGGAGGGGGAGAAACGAATTACAGCCATGGGTCTTGGGGAATATGAAATGGTGAACGGCAATAACAGCAGATTTACATACTGGCGATGCCTTTAGTTGTTGATAGTGTGCAATGCAAACAGACATTCTCTCGTCAAAGAAAACAAAACGATACCAACGTATTTCAGTGCCTTTCTAGAACAGCCAGTTCTCCTGACCCATTTCATTATGAGTGAACACTACGATCCAACTTTCCACTGATGACTTTGCAGAATCCATCTGGCCAGGATCTTCGTTTTCCTGTTGGCACACACTCTCAACTTGCAGGGGTTTTATTCAGCAGTAATGTAAATGGATCCAAATCGGCAAAGGCATGGTGGTGGTGGTGGTGGTGATAGGGAACAGTGCCTTCTCCATATTTCCCCTTCTCCATTTTCTTCAGACCCATCCCCTTCAGAAACACCGCTTTTCTGGCAAAGAAGGACTTAAAGGTAAAGGTAAAGGTTCCCTTGCTCGAAAGCCAGTTGAATCCGACTCTAGGGTTGCGGTGCTCATCTCCGTTTCAAAGCCGAAGAGCCAGCGCTGTCCGAAGACGTTTCCGTGGTCATGTGGCCGGCATGACTAAACACCAAGGCGCACGGAGCGCTGTTCCCTTCCCACCGAAGTGGTACCTATTTATCTACTTGCAATTTCTTGCTTTCGAACTGCTAGGTTGGCAGGAGCTGGAACTGGATTTGCCTTTCTTGGTCTGTGATAGGTACAATCTGCCATGATGCAGTGACACAATTTATGCCCCACCCAGTCCCTGTGCTGCTCACAGGCTGAGAGATCTCTGAGAGTGGAAGCCGTCTAAAGCACGTGAGATCACGCTGTTCCCAGATCAAAATAAAGTATGCTTATTCTAGTGCTAACAGCTGATCTACGTATGCAGATAAATGATGGTGATAGAGAGCTCCATGGACTCAGCCATTTCAGATGGGGGAGGAATCACACCCCCTCATAATCAAAACCAATTAAAAAAGCCAGCAGTTCCGGAAGAGGATTCTAGTCTAGCTTTTCCCCTAGGGCCAGGGTGGCCAAACTGCGGCTCAGGAGCCACATGCAGCTCTGTTGCACGTCTTCTGCGGCTCCCCGGCAGGGCAGGGCGGCTGGGGAAGCGAAGGGGAGGCAGCCCCCCCGACCCTTCTTCCCTCCCCCAGGCAGTCTTCCCCTCCCTGGGTAGGCCTCAGGGGGGGAGGGAGCAGAGGAAGAAAGCCACGTTGCCTTTCAATGCCTTCTCGAAGGCCCCCGCCCAAAAAAACCCCATTGTATAAATAAATATCATTATCAACATCTGTTTTAACCCCTTTGGAGTTTATTTTCGGCAGCCCACATGGAGGCTGGCAACAGGGGTCGTTTCATAGAAAAAGAGCTAGGGGAACTCATTAGCATAACTCATTAGCATATGCCACACCCCCTGACATCACCGGAAGTGTGTCATAAGGCCACACACCCCGCCCCCAACGGTCCCGGCTGCCGCCGGCCTTGCAGCTCCACTGCTGAGCCCCATGAGGGGCCTGGCGGTGGACCTGCAAGGCTCTGGCCCCAGGCAGGCATGGGTGGGGAGAGGCAGGGAGAAAGCAACTTACCCTCCCTCTTCTCCTGCCTCCTCCTGGCTGAATGAGGGCCGGAAGCGGGGTGGCCGGAAGCAGGGGGTGGGGCTTCGTCATGTGCCGTGCCCCCCGTACCTCACCCGGGGGAACTGCGATCCCCTGCGATCCCCTCCGAAATGACCTCTGGCTGGCAATGATATATAGTGTTGAACACTGTGACGTGGAAACAGCTTTGCTTTTTACGATGGCTTAACCTGTACAGAAGCTACACTGTTACTGCTTCATTCTTATATATTGTGTGTTTTTGGAATACCAATAAAAACCTCTTAAAAATAAAATAAAAAAAAACGGGTGGGTTGCATTTGTTCCTGTCTTGCGGCACTCCGACATCTGACATTGACCCCCATGTGGCTCTTAGGTTGAGCGAGTTTGGCCGCCCCTGCCCTAGGGTGTTAATTATCCACATGCAGAAGAAGAACAGTGTGCCATCAACTCACAACTGACAAAAAGAAGAGCCCATCCACAGGGCATTCCAGGCCAGAGACAGGCAGAGGTGATTTGCCTTTGCCTTCCCCTGCGCAGCAACTCGAATCTTCTTTGGTGGTCTCCCATGCAAGTACTGACCGTGGCTGACCCTACTTAACTCCCAAGCCCAGGCTAATCTGTGCCATTTGGGCTACTATTCCATTTGGGAGTATAGAACCTCCCCACACACCTGTTTGAAATGGTACAGTCTCGAGAATCCTAACTGGAGGTGTTTCTGAATGTATAGATAGCTGAGCAGAT